TGAGGAGCGGATGTCATCAACCTTCTTTTCAAAGTGGTTGACAAAGTTGTCCGCAGAGAGGGAGGGGGTGGAGGATTAAGGAGGGAGAAGAATGTGGAAAAGAGTTTCCTAGGGTTAGAGGCAGAAGCTTGACATTTAGAGTGATAGAAAGTGGCTTAAGCAGCAGATACAGAGGAAGAGAAGGTAGAGAGGAGGGAGTGAAAGGATGATAAGTCCTCCGGAAGATTAGTTTTCCTCCATTTTCACTCAGTTGCCCGCAGCCCTGTTCTGTAAACTTGCAATGAGTCACTCAGCCATGGAGCAGGAGGGCCGAGCTGGCTGGGAAGAAAGAAGACAGTGCGAGTCATAGGAAATGTTGAAAGGGAGGAGAGTAGGGTCAAAGAGGCAGAATCAGGAGAGATGATAGGATAGAAGAGGAGAGAGTAGTGGAAGAGAGGGAGTGAAGATTGCACATGACCATCTGGGTAGGGGCTGAATGGCTAGAGTTGGAGGAAAGGGAGACAGAAAAGGAAACAAAGTAGTGATCAGAGACCTTGAGGGGGGTTGCAGTGAGATTAGTAGGTGAGCAGCCTCTAGTAAAGATGAGGACAAGCGTATTGCCTGACTTGTGAGTTGGAGGGGATTGGGAAAGTTTGAGGTCAAAAGAGGCAAGGAGGGGAAAGCGAGAGTTGGAAATAAATGTATCGAAGCCAAGTACAAAGAGCGGTGAGCCATCGTCAGGAAATGAACTTATCAAGGTGTCAAGCTCATTGAGGAACTCTCCAAGGGCACCTGGTGGGCGATAGATGACAACAATGTTAAGTTTAAGTGGACATGTGACAGTGACAGCATGGAAGAAAATAGAACATCTCCAGTTAGGAGAAATGAGTAGCCCTGTGCCATCACCGCAACAACCAGATGCTCTTGGACTATGAGAGAAAACGTAGTCAGATGAAGAGAGAGAAGCTGGCGTAGCAGTGTTCTCTGGGGGTGATCCATGTCTCCGTCAGGGCAGCATAGGCTGAGATGAACTCTGCGTTCTTGACCGCAGATCGGCAGTTCCAAATGCTGCCAGAGACCCAGAATTCCACATGGGTTGTGCGCGCAGGGTACACTCAATTTAAAAGGGTTGCAGCCAAGGGGTGGGGAGCGTCTGTAAAGCCTAAAGGGAGAGGAGCGAACAGGTATAGAAAACACACACATAGAGATAATCAGAATATAACTACGTAAGATACTCAAGTGAGAGAGTGGTGTGGAGTCTTCCTCTCTTTCCTTCCTAGAAGAACTCTGCAGAACAACTCAGCAGAACCATCTCACTGCACCGCCATATGCCATGTCTTGAAATATGCATACAGACGGATTAAAAGTACATTTACATTGTAATACTTCTGACAGCCAACCTTCTAACTCTGCCCATAACTTTTTGACTTTATAGCATTCCCAGAAGGCATGGACTATTGAGTCATTGTGAGTATTACACTTAAGACATGACTCTGCCGTTGTGCTGTAGAATTTGTGAATTTTGTCCCTTGTGTAATAAATTCTCTACATTTAGTTTATACTGGATTAAGCATAAATTAACTAATTTCCTTAGTTATGTTCCAACACTCCCTCCATCTTGTGCCAATGTTAGTTATTTTTAAGTCATGGTTCCAATAGTTTAAACATTTTTCTAAGAGATTGTCAGTTGGATAGGCTTTCTGCAAGGTTTTATATACAGTACCAGTCAAAAGTTTGGACACACCTACTCATTCAAGGGTTTTTCTTTATTTTTACTATTTTCTACATAGTAGAATAATAGTGAAGACATCAAAACTATGAAATAACACATATGGAATCATGTAGTAACCAAAAAAGTGTTAAACAAATTCTTCAAAGTAGCCACCCTTTGCCTTGATGACAGCTTTGCACATTCTTGGCATTCTCTCAACCAGCTTCACCTGGAATGCTTTTCCAGCAGGAGTTCCCACATATGCTGAGCACTTGTTGGCTGCTTTTCCTTCACTCTGCGGTCCAACTCATCCCAAACCATCTCAATTGGGTTGAGGTCGGGTGATTATGGAGGCCAGGTCATCTGATGCAACACTCTCCTTCTTGGTCAAATGGCCCTTACACAGCCTGGAGGTGTGTTTTGGGTCATTGTCCTGTTTGCACTAAGTGCAAAACAGATGGGATGGGGTATCGCTGCAGAATGCTGTGGTAGCCATGCTGGTTAAGTGTGCCTTAAATTCTAAATAAATCAGACAGTGTCACCAGCAAAGCACCCCCACACCTCATCCTCCATGCTTCACGGTGGGAACCACACATGCGGAGATAATCCGTTCACCTACTCTGCGTCTCACAAAGACACAGCGGTTGGAACCAAAAATCTCAAATTTGGACTCATCAGACCAAAGGACAGATTTCCACCAGTCTAATGTCCATTGCTCGTGTTTCTTGGCCCAAGCAAGTCTCTTCTTCTTATTGGTGTCCTTTAGTAGTGGTTTCTTTATAGCAATTCGACCATGAAGGCTTGATTCACGCAGTCTCCTCTGAACAGTTGATGTTGAGATGTGTCTGTTACTTGAACTATGTGAAGCATTTGTTTGGGCTGCAATTTCTGAGGCTGGTAACTCTAATGAACGTATCCTCTGCAGCAGAGGTAACTCTGGGTCTTCCTTTCCTTTGGCGATCCTCATGAGAGCCAGTTTCATCATAGCGCTTGATGGTTTTTGCGACTGCACTTGAAGAAACTTTCAAAGTTCTTGAAATGTTCTGTACTGACTGACCTTCATGTCTTAAAGTAATGATGGACTGTCGTTTCGCTTTGCTTATTTGAGCTGTTCTTGCCATAATATGGACTTGGTCTTTTACCAAATAGGGCTATCTTCTGTATACCACCCCTACCTTGTCACAACACAACTGATTGGCTCAAATGCATTAAGGAAAGAAATTCCACAAATTAACTTTTAAGAAGGCACACCTGTTAATTGAAATGCATTCCAGGTGACTACCTCATGAAGCTGGTTGAGAGAATGCCAAGAGTGTGCAAAGCTGTCATCAAGGCAGAGGGTGGCTATTTTGAAGAATCTCATATAAAATATATTTTGATTTGTTTAACACTTTTTTGGTTACTACATGATTCCATGTGTTATTTCATAGTTTTGATGTCTAAATTATTATTCTACAATGTAGAAAATAGTAAAAATAAAGAAAAACCCTTGAATGAGTAGGTGTGTCCAAACTTTTGACTGATACTGTATCTTACCTATCATATGAATATCTTTTTCTGACTCAAATAGGATTCCCTCAAGATTGCTCTGATGTCCAAAAGATTTCAAATCGAAATTATTGAATTTTTAAGTTCTAAAATATTTATCGGTCAGTCCAATATTGCTTTTTAATTCTGTAATGGAAATACTGTAAATGTATTTCCTTTTACCAAGTCATTTATGGTTTCTATGCCTTTAGTTTTCCATGTGGACCAATTTAAAAATTGGTAAATTCTGAAAAGCTGTCCAAGAATTGTTCCATAGGGTTGTGTTTGTAGGGAGTGACATTGGTTCTTATAAAACAAATTTCATTTTCTTCCATTTTGTTATAGTGTTCTTAACTATGAAGTTGTTAATGTTCTTAGCTTTATCCTTTGAAAATAGAGACTTGAAAATATTCTGGGGATGAGCATGCGCGCATCTTCAATTTGTAACCATTGTTCCTCTTTAGTGCATTTAACAATATAATTTTAATGACCATTGAACAGCAGTAAATATTTTCGATTGTGCATTGAAATCCCCCACTGTTAACCCAGTGAAGAGGACACCCAGTGAGCACATTAGCAACAGATTAGCCGAGCTAGAGTTAACATTACAACCAGTGTTTATTGAGTATTCAATAAGTATGTATTCTCACAAGGCAAATGTACAGCAAACAACTGCCAGCTGGCTAGCACCACAGGAGGTGAGCAGCAAGACCAGTTACACACAGATCCAGACATCCTTACTGTCATGTCAATACCTTCTTGGGGCAGAAAAATATTAACATCAAATGATTAATCATAGAAAATGTCCACTCAGCATTTGTAGACACTAATTCTGCAGACAGGCTCTAATTGAAGATGACCTCAAACAAAAACGCTCAGCATGGACTGTCTTAATAGAATGTATCTAGAATGCATGGACTCTAGAATGCATGAAGTCTTTAATGCGTGGCCTCTAGAATGTGTGGTCTTTAATGCAAGGACACTATAATGTGTGGAGTCTTTAATGCATGGGCTCTAGAATGTGTGGAGTCTTTAATGCATGGGCTCTAGAATGTGTGGAGTCTTTAATGCATGGGCTCTAGAATGCATGGAATAGAATAGAATGCATTTTTCATCAATCACATGAAAAGGGCCTAGTATGTACACACACTCTGATGATAATGCAGATAAACAAAGCAATAAACAATGTAATAATAATACCAACAAGAATAACATTATTAAAGCTCTTCATGACCATATCAACATTCAGTGTATTGGGAAAAGAATCCCAATATACTCTTTATATAAAAAAAGAAGTGATCAAGTGTCTGCATGGGACAAATAACAGTTCATGTTCTCAGAGGAGGGGTGGGCGTGCCATGTGTTTGATACCATTCCATTTACTGTGTTCCAGCCATTGCTATAAGCCCGTCCTCCCCAATTAAGGTGCCGCCTGTGATGAGGAGGGGGGATCAGGTCAGGTGGGTGTGCGCTTCCACAGATTTGGGGCTCAGAGAGGGGGGCAAGTAGCTTGGTCCCAAATCTGTTTGTGCTATATAGCCAACTACTATGGTCTAACTGGATAAGAGAGTCTGCTAAATGACTTAAATGTAAATGTCATTCGTCATTGTCATAACAAACATACCAATAATTCATTGTTTGGCATGCAATGACCATAGGAGTTGGCTATACAACACAAACAGATCTGGGACCAGGCTAGGGGCGGAGGGGTGAGGGGTCGGTGTGCTCCACAGATTTGGGGAGGTGGCGGTGGGTCTGGGAAGGGGACAGTGGAGGTCCTTGCTGTCAGTCTATGTGGCGTATCTCTTGGTCCACTGTTTGGCTATCCTGTCGTGCTCTGGTCTGTTGGTTGTGTACTGGGTGGCGATGCTTCCTACCAGAGGGTCAGCTGTGAGGAGGGAGAACAACATGGATTATAGTCTTTTAACCACCATTAAATCATATTCCATTCCATCATATCCATTGGGTGTTTGTTTACAGTCAGAGAAACTGTTACCCCAACTATTTAGATAAACTATTTTCTTCCATTAACTGTGATTTTGATAGACTACCTTACCACCTTTAACATCTCAAATGGAGAAAAAAAACATGAATAATTTTCCATGTCGTGAAGCCCTGTTTATCTCAAGTAGGACACTCCATAATTATGACATATATATATATAGCAGACACGTTTATAGACATCATCTGAATCAAGTGTTCACAGCAGGCTTGACTAGTACTACAGGACAGGAGGGTGAAGCACGATGACAGAGACATATTCCCTTTACAGCACATCAGTGACAAACTGACCAGGGGTGTATTCAGGGGTGTGCAACCATAGAAATAGAATGAATAGGACGGGCGTGGAAGCTCTAACCCTGGCAATTTGACTAGTAAACTCATTAGGTACACTCGCAATGCCTGCCTGGTATTGTGATGCAATAATTTCCATGGTATTTTGGAATGTTCTATCAACTGATGCTGGATTGCCATGGTAATGTAGAATGTAAGTCGCTTCGGATAAAAGCGTCTGCTAAATGGCATACTATTATTATATTATTTATTATTAATGTTCATTCAAATGATGCTAACTGATGTGGCTCATGCAATGGAATGTATTTTTTGTAATGTCAGTTGAGTTGACTCAACAAATCACAGCACAGATTGAAGGGTACACTTCCTGCTTTTACTTCCTGGTATGGGTACACTCCGAATGGCTGCCAGTCCACCCATTATGCCATCATTGACTTGAATTCTATTTCTATGGGTGCAACATTCAGAATCATTCAAATGGCAGCCCCCCTGCCGAGCTCCATGTGCTGGTTGGGTGAGCAGCAGTGGGGCCAGGGCCCCAGCGGAGCCAGGCTGAGTTCGGGGGTGAAAACACTAGAGCTGCAGAGCACCGTACAGGGTCTCCTTGTGGCACCCCAACCCAGAAAGCCAGGAATTATACAATTACTGTGTCTGCAAGGGTTCATTAGCTATCATTCTGCCCTCTCCTTCTTTAATTAGCTATATCCCATAGATCCTCTAGACCCCTACTACTGCATGAATATAGACACCTTCAGGGGAGAGAATGGGAGGGGAAGAGAGGAGGGAGAGTGGGTGGGGAGGCAGGGAAGTAAAGACCAGGCTGATTATGAGAAGGGTATATTCTCTCTCTCTCACTCTCTCACTCTCTCACTCTCTCACTCTCTCACTCTCTCACTCTCTCACTCACTCTCTCATTGGGGTGTCACTCACCAGGGTTGCAGTCAGTGAGCAGGGAGCAGATGGAAAGGAGCACCTTGGAGATGGTGAGGGCGGGGCTCCAGTTGTCCTTCAGAATGTCCAAACAGATCACACCCTGACTGTTGATGTTACAGTGGTAGATCCTGGTACGGAACGTCACCTAGGAAACAACAAAGTATATCTATATCAATACATCCTGTGGTTTATGTGCTCTTTCTTGTCCTTGGGGAGCTGAGCATCTCTTTGTGCCAGTAACACAGAAGAAGCGGAGTGAAAAATAACAGGAAGAAAAGAGACTAAACAACATTAGGGAGCCACCTCCGACCTCTGGGGGGGGGTGGGATCAGAGTGGGAGTGACATTGGAGACGCACCCTTTCACTGACTCACTTACTCACTCACTCCCTAGCTGACTCACTCTCTCTCAATAACTTCATCAGTGACTAACCATGCTGGCCTGCTTGTGGAAACCTCCCAGGCTATCCCAAGGTGTGGAGGGGATCTGCTAATCTAGTCTGTGGTGTTTGTGTACCCTGTTCTCAGATAGCAGTCATAGGAATGTGTGTCTGTCTGCCTGCCTCTCTGTCTGCCTGCCTGCCTGTCTGCAGCCCTGTGTACAGCCAGGCAGTAAAAACTACCCAGCGGGAGGCCTGGCTCTCAGATCAGCAGATATGGTTCCTTTCATCCTCAGTCAGCAGAGGGCAGAGAGAGAAGAAGAAGGGTAGAGAGAGAGTGAGTAAGGAGAGAAGAGAGAAGAAAAGAGAGAGGAAGGTAGAGAGAGAGAGAGAGAGGAGTAAGGGAGTAAGGGAGAGGGGAGAGAAAGCGAGAGAGAGAAGAAGAAAGGTAGAGAGAGAGTGAGTAAGGGAGAGAAAGCGAGAGAGAGAGAGAGAGGTAGAGAAGGTGAGAGGAGAGAGTGAGGAGAGAGAAAAGAAGAGAAATGTAGAGGAGTGAGTAAGGGAGAGAAAGCGAGAGAGAGAAGAAGAAAGGTAGAGAGAGAGTGAGTTAAGGGAGAGAAAGCGAGAGAGAGAAGAGAGGTAGAGGAGAGTGGAGAAAGGAGAGGGGAGAGGAGAGAGAAGGAGGAGAGAAGAAGAAGGTAGTAGAGAGAGTGAGTAAGGAGAGAAAGCGAGAGAGAGAGAGAAGGAAGGTTAGTAAGAAGGAGTAGAGTGAGTGTAAGTGGAGTAAGCGAGGAGACGGGAATTAAGCGATGAGAGAGAGAAGAAGAAAGAAGTTGAGAGATAGCGACAGACAGACAGAGGCCCCACATCCTGAGGCAATCACTAAACTAAACTCTCTCAGGGCCGACCCCCAACCAACGCACCTGCATTGAGTATTTTCTCAATAATAACACTGAACAGAGCTCAGAGACTGTATTAATCTGCATTGAGTATTTTCTAAAATAATAACACTGAACAGAGCCACTGGCATAACGCAGTTTCTCTGGACCCCCTCTGCAAGGTTGGAGTCCGGGCCCCTACGGCCTGTAGGTCCAGGTTACAGGCCTGACTGTTTTCTATACTGAGTATTGCCAACCCAGACAGTCTTTCCTGAGACATTGTGCATTATACTGTATGTCCATTGCGCTGCACACAATCTAAACTTAGTCTTGAATGATGCATGCCAAGATATACCAGAGATAAGGGACTGTTGGTATTGCAACCACACAACTCAAACATTGGTTCACCAGTATGAAAGAAATTGCAAACAGCTTGTCTGCTAAAAATGACAATCTGTTTGCATCTGCCAATTTATTGGCTGTCCAGTCTTCAGACGACCTTTCCCCAGAGCTTCCTATACAGTTCATCTCTTTCTGTAACATGTTGAGGCCAGCAATTAAGGAGAATGAGAGCAATCAAGCTGGTTTTACCATCCCTGTAACTGTCGCTTCTGTGTAGAGATTGTTTTCTAAACTAAAACTCATAAAGAACTACCTAAGAAGCATTAGGCTCTCAGTCTGATATGCGCTTTTGAACACCTGAGGAAACTCGACTCATTGCACTGGCGCCATCGTAGCCTTGACCATGGCATTTGTTCACTGATATCCCCTCATACTTTCAATCAGTATATATTTTTTTTCTTTCACTTTTTCTGTCACATTCCTGAAGTCCAATAAACACTTAGCTGCTTAGTACATGTGGAAATTCAAAAGGATTATGAATGACTTTTTGGAGGGTTACTGTCAAAATGATTTATTCAATTAAAAAATAATAGACATCGATGACCGGCACATGGGACCCCAGAGCTCGTGGGCCCCCCCACCTTGCAGGGGTGTCCGGTACGCCAGTGAACAGAGCCCAGGGACTTTATTCACCATTTTCTCTCTCAGTAGGTTGTTATTTTCTTCTATTCAAATCGATGTTTTGTTGCGCAATATGCTCCTAGTCCAAAGTTATTTCAAGACCTTCCAGCTCTCAAGCCAGATATCTTTTCAGAATATCCCAGTGTTCATTATTTATATATATTTTTAAACGGAACACATGGGAAACTTCCTTAAATATGCGCTAATAATAAAGATGTACTTGTCTATTTGTGTTTCAGAGGAGCCATTGATACACTTGTAAACATTTGTCTCTAAAATAGCCGGTGCCAAGCAGATGTTTAGTATTTCACGCCCTAAAAGCCTAACCCAAGGCCCAAATCAAAAATACAAATAAACAGAATCAGTCAACATGGGCTCCTGAGCAAGCACTAGTCTAGCATGCATACACAGTGTGTGTGTGCGTGCGCGCGTGTGTCTGAGCATGCATATGTGTGTACCTTGGGTGGTTTGAAGGGGTAGTCTGGTGTGAAGGCGATATCTAGGAAAAAGACCCCTCCCTCGTACACAGAGCCTGGTGGTCCCAGGATGGTAGATCTCCACTCATAGATGTTGTCTCCTTTTGGACCCGCACTGCAAGGGCACAGAAGAAAGAAATTCAATATACAGAATGTATTTAGAAAGCAGGAAATTACATTTTAATTCTGTAACTCAATTCCTGATTCAGCAGTGTGTGTTTGTGTGTTGTGAAAGATAAAGAGAGAGAAGAAGCCTGAAGCATCTCTCTCTTATTATCAACCATCCAATCTATTCTGTATAACTCCTTATTACCAGATACGTGCCTATGGCATCTGTAGGCAGTTATCTATTCACACACACACACAGTGGCAGATTGCTCTCCCTGTAGTACATGAGAACTACAGTGTAGACTAGAGAGCAGCTGGCTGCGGCCGAGCCTCATTGTTACGTTGCCTCCTACTACACACAGTGGAGAGGACAAATAATCGAATCCTATTTCACCAATGGAATAAGGCCAGGCACACCGCTCTGTTTTCTTATAGCACTCTTACTTTCATCACTTAGAGAGAGAGAAAGAGGCAGAGTGAAAGAGAGAGAGAGAATGGGATTAAAGAAGACAGAGCGGCTGAAAGAGAGAGAGGGAAAGGGAGAGATGGGGAGAGAGAGGGGCAAAGCAGTAGAAAGAGAGCGAGAGGGGAGGCATTAATGCAATGCGAGTGAGTGTATCACTAAAGCCATTCATGTGAAACTGTAGCCTGTAGTAAAGAGGTAGGCCTCTGTATTTTCTGTCTAGCTCTGTTTGGACACAGTGAGGAATTGTGGGAAACAAGCTTAGAAAGGAGAATTCTCTCTTTGCCAGAGATGACACATTCTGGTTCATATACTGTAAATAGTCTGAGGGAGGGAGGAGGGTGCGCGAGCGAGCGAGAGAGAGAGAAGAATGAGGGTGTGGCTCCAGGAGACAGACAGCTTGGCAGTAGTAAATAGTTCTGGTCGTGGTCACGCTCTAGGCAGTTGTTGCACAACATTACTTAGTGGTTCAGGAGAGATCTATGTTTGTGGGTCAAATCAACCCAGTGCTATGGGTGGTTGAGACAGACGTTCCACATAGCACTCTACTAGTCCTCTTATGGTTGGCCAAAATAGTGATTTTCTCCCCTCTCTTCCCACAGTAAGTCTATAAGCTACAGACAACATCTGGGTATGTTTAGAGCACCACCAGCGACACCAATTTATAACCCAGGCTTGTGGAACCACTGGTTTCCCTATCCAGTAGCATAAATAACTACTGTACTCTATCAATGTTTTTATGACCTGTCTTCACTCTATCACCAAAGTAAAAGTATAACACACACATAAAAGCATTAAGCATAACGGTGGAGAAACAGGCTTCACTGACATCGGAGATGGTTGATGATGTAATATTAGTGTCATAAAGACAGTCATTTCCCTCTCTGTTTATCAACTCCCTCTGCCAGAGATTCCTCATCCCTCACTCCTCCCTACCTTCTCCCCCTGCCCCTCTCTCCCCCACACCATCACACAGCCTGTCTTCCCCCCCCCCCATCCGACTCTTCGTCCCTCACCCATCCTCCCTCATCTCCCACGGCTGTTCCTGAAAACTATTTTTACTCAGGCGGCAGCTGGGCATCACACACAAAAAAACAGGAACTATCACAGACGGCTGCTGAGATTGGACACTGCCTGCTTCCTCACTACAGAGATGAGCTCAGTAAGACGCTGGTAGCAGTGTGGATAGAGGAGATATCCCAGACAGACGCTGGCAGCAGTGTGTATAGAGGAAATGTCCCAGACAGTCAGAGCGAAGTATTGTATGACAAGAGGATATCCCTGACACCACTACCTCTCCTGTTGCACACACACATACACACACAGAGGAAGAGTAAGGAGGGAGAGAGGGAGGGGAATGTAGAAAGAGAAGAGAGAAAGTGTGAGAGAGTGAGTGAGAGGCAGCAGAAGGCATGGTGAGCTGTATACCAGCTGTACTCCAGTTCTCACAAACCTAGCACTTAGAAGAGATGTGTGCTCATTGGATATATGCCCATATCTAAAAGTAGCTTCAGCTATATCTCACACTAGTACACTTCCTACTAGTCAGAGAAGGCCTAAGGAGTTATAAAAATGTAGTTTTAATTTCTATTTCATTTCCTCTTTACAATAATTTGAATGATCTTCTGATTTCATCTCTTCAGTTTGTGTTGGAAAGAGAAGGGTTAATACTAAAGAGAAAAACATATCCAATCAGGATTTTATTTTGTGGTCTCTGGTTAGAAAAATCTAGCAAGCTCAGCCAGCCATTGGCTAGGCCTTCAGAAGCTGGATAGACGGCATCTGCCATTCAACTGTATTAGAGCAGAATTTTGGAGTGACAGAAGAATGAACCAATCACATTTTTGACTTGCAATAGGTGGTACTGTTTTAAAAAAAAAAGTGTTGTCTAGGCCTTCTCAATTACAAATTATCATCATCTGGTGAGTGACACTGTTTTTTGTTGCAGCTCCCTTGCTGTTAGCTATCTCTTTGAAAAGAATGACTGTAAAACATTGTTGCATTTAAACTTTAGATCACCAGTTAGTGTGATGAACGTGATAAAAATGAGCCGTGTTTATGTGTTTGAACAAAACTGGCTCTCCTTCAGCGCTATCGAGTGCACAGGTATTACAGTCTCAGTCCTTTCAGCACCATGAGCCTGTCGGTTGTTGTTATAGGCTATTATAGGTTGTGTAAACAGTGTGTTTTTTGTTTTGCTGGTCGCATTAGTTTATGCTGTGTGTCACATGTTGTGTCCATGCCGGTTCTGTCTGTGTGTGTGTGGCAGGCCGAAGCGCGGCCAGGCCTGTTTGAATAATTTGTAATGTCATCAAAAAGCATTGCTCCTCCTTCACTAGAACGGTCAGACTACAGAAGATATGATGTCGGGCGCATGTGGTCCTCTGTAGCTCAATTGGTAGAGCATGGCGCTTGTAACGCCAGGGTAGTGGGTTCGATCCCCTGGACCACCCATACGTAAAAATGTATGCACACATGACTGTAAGTCGCTTTGGATAAAAGCGTCTGCTAAATGGCATATTATTATTAAGTGATGCTATGTTTTCTGTATTTTCTTGATTTTTTAGTTTGATACAACGTATTGGAAGATTTTTTGTCCCTCTGAAGGCCTACGTCTTATAGTCACGGTTCGCCACTGCTATTCATGGAGTGACTTATTATATAAGTGAAGTGTTGTGTGTTTTTATGCTCAAGGGTACTGCATGGATGGCAACAAATCACTAGGGAACAACAAATCACTAAGGAGCATATCCTGAGTGCTGACCCTGCATAACTCTCTCACACACAGACAGACAGAGAGACAGAGAGACAGAGAGACAGAACAGCAGTATTACTTATACTCCATGGAAAGCTAATCCCTCCCATTCCAGATTATGGGCTAACTGGATTATACTGCCTATGGATAGATGATATTGTACCAGCTAGCTACCTCAGCACAGAGACACATTGCAAACCCAATCCCTACACATGTCAGTTATCACTCTCCCCTCCCCCACTCTCCCCTCCCCTCCCCCCACTCTCCTCTCCTTTGCTCTCACCTTGTTTCACTAACACATTGATTAATGGAGATTAACCTTAATATTAACCATGACCTGACCAGTTGTGATTCAACCACAATCATCCCTGTGGTCGCTATATGACCTTTGACCTGGTTTAACCTATTAAAATGTCCATTCAGATTGGAATCACATTAGTCCGATTCCATGTTTCTACATCGATCTCTGTGATGTCAATCATCATCAAAGAGAGAACCACCAAGGTGGTTATTATTGACTGGTCAACGTGAATTGGTTACATCGTTTTTTATTGCTGTCATAAACGCCTTCATGATGCTTCAGTTAGAGCAGGTCTAGGAAGTTCCTGAGGACCATAAGTAACCAATCACGCACGCAACCACACACACTGAGGATTGTTATCGTGAACAATCAGCAACACCGTCATCGAGTCTCCTTCATTATAAAGCATCAGCTTGAGGTGACTGTTAAAGGCTCAGAAAGATGATAAAATACCCAAATCCCTTTGACAGAAAAGCTATTTTCAGTCTTTTGTTCCTTCCAGCTAAAAGGCCTGTGTCTGCTTGTTACTGGTCTTTGTATGTCCTCGTTTGGCCATCTAATTGCTCACAATGCACAGTTTCATCAGGAGCAACATGCAGGCTGGGAAGAGGGAGATAGAAAGGGGATAGGAGTGGGGCGAGAGAGAGAGAGTAGGGAGAAAGAAAGAGATCCAATGCCCTCTGACCTTTCAATGAGCGGTAAACCAATTGTGTCCCCATTGTCTTGGGCCCTATCGCCTACCAACCCATCCCTAGAAAATGTGTGTGTACGTGTGCGTTCAGTGATTGGAATACATACTGAATTGCTATCAGTCATGCATCAATGGTTTTGTAATTTGGTTCATAACTTCCAATTGTGGAAATCATGTGACAACTTTATTAGTTACATATTGCTGATAGTATCAGCTAGACAGCATGCAATGCATTAGGCCTACATCCCACCCACCCATGCTTACCCCCATATAAAGTGAGAATATTATCAACTTCAATCATCAGAATGGGATAAAATAAACTATTTTGCTTTGTGAATTATTTGGTATGACAAGATGTAGACATTTAAAGGTAATCTCCCATTGAAAACAGACATAGGGAAGGGGTTTAATAGAAATGTGGTATGTCTTGACAAAACGTGGGGAAAATTGCCTGGAGAGAGCGAGATGGAGACAGAGAGAAGGAGCAGAGAGAGAGAGAGAGAGCGAGGAGGAGATAAGAGAGAGAGAGAGAGGGGAGAGAGAGAGAGAGAGAGAGGAGAGAGAGAAGGAGAGAGGAGAGAGAGGGAGAGAGAGGAGGAGGAGAGAGGGTAGAGGAGAGAGGAGGAGAGAGAGAGAGAGAGGGAGAACGAGAGGAAAAAGGGAGAAGAGAGAAGAAGGAGGAAGAGGAGAGCGGGAAGGGGCCATTTGGGATTGTTAGGCTTCTTTCTTCTTGGTTTTTAAAGCCCGCTATTTATATATTTAAGTTCTTTAGTAGTGGATGGAAAGTTGGGGTGGGAAAGTGGTGTAATGCCAAAGGGAGGTAGGAGGAAGTGATAGTAAACAAAAGTGAAATAAACAATAAATATTAAACAGAAACATTAAAACCCCAGGGAAATTTTTAAAAGAAAAAAAAAGCCCTTTTAAATGTCCAATTTTTTATGTCAATCCGTGTTTTGGGTTTAAATGGGGTTTTCAAAAAGTTAAAGTCCCAAAGGGAAAAAAAAATAAAAAAAATATGGGTTTGTTATTTACAATGGTTGTTTGTTTCTTCACTGGTTGCCCCTTTTCTTGTGGCAAACAGGTCACAAATCTTGCAGCTGTGATGGCACACTGTGGATTTTCACCCAGTAGATAAGGGAGTTTATTCAAAAATTGGGGTTTGTTTTCGAATTCTTTTGGATCGCTGTAATCTGAGGGGAAATATTGTGTCTCTAATATGGTCATACATTTGGCAGGAGGTTAGGAAGTGCAGCTCAGGTTCCACCTCATTTTGTGGGCAGTGTGCACATAGCCTGTCTTCTCTTGAGAGCCAGGGTCTTTCTCAATAGCAAGGCTATGCTCACTGAGTCTGTACATAGTCAAAGCTTCTTAAGTTTGGGTCAGTCACAGTGGTCACGTATTCTGCCCACTGTGTACTCTCTGGTTTAGGGTCCAAATAGCATTCTAGTTTGCTCTGTTTTTTTGTTTGGTTCTTTCCAATGTGTCAAGTAATTCTCTTTTTTGTTTTCTCATGATTTGGTTGGGTTAGTTGTGTTGTTGTTGTGTTGTCTGGGGCTGTGTGGGGTTCTGTTTGTGTTTGTGAACAGAGCCCAGGACAAGCTTACTTAGGGGACTCTTCTCCAAGTTTCATCTCTCTGTAGGTGATGGCTTCTTGTTATGGAAGGTTTGGGAATCGCTTTCCTTTAAGTGGTTATAGAATTTAACGGCTCTTTTCTGGATTTTGATAATTAGCGGGTATTGGCCTAATTCTGCTCTGCATGCAATTATTTGGTGTTTTACGTTGTACCACGGAGGATGTTTTTGCAGGAATTCTGCATGCAGAGTCTCAATTTGGTGTTTGTCCCATTTTGTGAATTCTTGGTTGGTGAGCGGACCCCAGACCTCAGAACCATAAAGGGCAATGGGTTCTATAAACTGATTCAAGTATTTTTAGCCAGATCCTAATTGGTATGTCAAATTTTATGTTCCTTTTTGATGGCATAGAAGGCCCTTCTGCCTTGTCTCTCAGATCGTTCACAGCTTTGTGGAAGTTACCTGTGGCGCTGATGTTTAGGCCGAGGGTATGTATAGTTTTTTGTGTGCTCTAGGGCAACGGTTTTTTGTGTCTAGAGGGAATTTGTATTTTGTGGTCCTGGCAACTGGACATTTTTTGGAAAACCATATTTTTGTCTACTGAGATTTTACTGTCAGGGCCCAGGTCTGACAGGAATCTGTGCAGAAGATCTAGGTGCTGCTGTAGGCCCTCCTTGGTTGGTGACAGAGCACCAGATCGTCAGCAAACAGAAGACATTTGACTTCAGATTCTAGTAGGGTGAGGCCGGGTGTGCCGACTGTTTCTAGTGCCCTCGCCAATCGTTGATATATATGTTGATAGAGGGTGGGGCTTAAACTGCATCCCTGTCTCACCCCACGGCCCTGTGGAAAGAAATGTGTGTGTTTTTTTTTGCCAATTTTAACCGCACACTTGTTGTTTGGTTACATGGATTTTATAATGTCGTATGTTTTCCCCCAAACCCCACTTTCCATCAATTTGTATAGCGGACCCTCATGCCAAATTGAGTCAAAAGCTTTTTTTGAAATCAACAAAGCATGAGAAGACTTTGCCTTTGTTTGGTTTGTTTTGTTTGTCAATTAGGGTGTGCAGGGTGAATACGTGTCTGTCGTACGGTAATTTGGTAAAAAGCCAATTTGACATTTGCTCAGTACATTGTTTTCACTGAGGAAATGAACTAGTCTGCGTTAAGGATAATGCAGGAGGATTTTCCCAAGGTTGCTGTTTGACGCATATCCCACGGTAGTTATTGGGGTCAAATTTGTCTCCACTTTTGTGGATTGGGGTGATCAAGTCCTTGGTTCCAGATGTTGGGGAAGATGCCAAGACGCTAAGGGATGATGTTAAAGGGGGTTTTAAGGGATAGCTAATTTAAATTTGTGGGGGGGGTATATTTTTTTCATTTCATTGAGGATTAACCCATTAACACCACAGGACCTTTTTGGGTTTTGGGGGGTTTGTAATTTTTTTCCTGTAGTTAAAAATGGGAAGGGGGGAATAAAATGGGTTTGGGGGATCCCCTTTTAAAGTTTGGGGTTTTAATTTTTAAATTTTTAAAAAATATTTTTGTGTTTTGTTTCTTTTAGGGGGGCCCAAAAAGATTGGGGAAAAGGGTGGGTTTCCCAACCTTTTTTTCCCTTTTTTTTTGTTTTTTTTAGTTTTTCCAAAATTTTCCCCAAAAGAAGTGGTTTTGAAATCTATTGGGGTTGTTGAATACATTTGGGGTGATTTTTGACATGCTGTTTCCCTTTTTTCCTTAACATTTTTTAAATCCCCCAATAAACCGGCTCCTCTTAGGAGGCGGAGGGAGGGAGGCGGGGAGGGGAAGAAAAAGGGGGGGGAAGGGAGAAGGCGGGAGAAGAGAGAGAGACAGAGAGAGAGAGAGAGCAGGAAGAGAGAAAGAAGAGAGAGAGAGCGAGAGAGAGAGAGAGAGAGAGAGAGAGAGCGCGAGACGAGAGAGAGAGCTAGCGAGAGAGAGAGCATCTGAGAGAGATAGAGGAGAGCGATGCTAGCTTCTCTATGATCTCTCTCTCTCTCTCTCTCTCTATCTCTCTCTCTCTCTCTCCTCTCTCTCCTCTCTCTCTCTCTCTCCTCTCTCTCTCTCTCTCTCTCCTCGCTACAGTAGCCTGTTATCCACTATAACTACAATATTTTACTGCTCCTGTAAATAAATAGACAAGACGCTCCAAGCTTCCCCTGTGATCACTTGAGTGATGATAACCTCATGTTTGCATTACTGCACAGAACGGGTAATTCATTAACATGACTTGTGTAGGTGTTAAAACACTAACAGTGAGCAATAAAACAGACTGGAGGAGAGCGGGAGTCAGAGGAAGACAGAGAGACGAGAGAGAGAGAGGAGAGCAGGAGATGATGTCAAGGTGCGCGCACGCAAGCATGCAAGGAAGAGAGATCAACTGGAGCACAGCTGTGTCTGACCTCCTTAACTATAGAGTGTGAGGATGAGTTAGAGGCTGAGAGGGGCAGACAGGGTGGATCAGGGTCACTAGGGTTTAGAGCTGAGCGGACGTGTGGAGACAGACACACTGATCTGAGGAGGACATCAAATAGCTTGAATGTAGAGTATTATACACTCTCTTTATTGGCTCCACACCCCTGTAGGTATTCACATATTTTTTTTAAATACAAAATTGCCCTTTACTGCTATAGACATTCAAAAAATAAATCATAAGGAATACGTTTTTGAAGTGTCTGTCCTATATCATATAAGATACTTCCATACTTTTTTTCCCCCGGTACCGGGTTACCTTCAGATGAGTCCCGTGACACTTGTGGGGGTCATAGAGCAAAACGGACAACACCATCACGTTCGTGAGAGTCTCCCCTGTCCATAGTGGGATCAGATTAGTTTGTAGCCCAAACTGTTCGGACACTACAGGAAGATGTTGGCACATCGGCGATACAGACTTTAGACGTTCAGACGCCCGTTTGGACGCTACAGACATTTTTTTCAGATTTTCGGGATGTCTCCTGGTCTAACAAACAGCACTGTAGGCGGATGCACAAACAGCACTGTAGGCGGATGCGGTGGATTGAGCCCTTACAAAAAAACAGGTATCTCTATCTTAAACAGATTTTTGTATTATTATGTTAATTCGATTCTGTCAATCGACTCTAGGGGGTTTTAACTGCAGCCCTCAAGTAGTGATACAGCCAGGCAAGTCAAAAGAAATGAGAGTGCATGAAGCAAATTAATAATATGCAAGAACTGGCCCCTCTGGTTGTTCACAGATCCCAAGGAGAGAGGGTGGCGTTTCTCTCTTATCTTATCTCTACACTGTTCACACAAAGCAATGTGTGTGTGTGTGTGTGTGTGTGTGTGTTAGTCCGTGTGCTGTGTGTGGATGGGGGAGAGATGGTAGCACAAGATCAGGAAGCCAGACCTGCAGACTCAGCGGTTGTGAGAATTTCCAGAGGAGCTTGTTACCTCTCACTAATTAGTCTACAAGGACTTAGCTTCTGACTACCGGCCCTTTCCAGCCAAATAAATAAACAAATAGATAATCATATATGCCATTTACCAGACGCTTTTATCCAAAGCGACTTACAGTCATGCGTGCATACATTTTACATATGGATCGTCCCGGGAATCGAACCCACTACCCTGGCGTTACAAGCGCCATGCTCTACTAACAAAGCTAATGTGAAATGGCTGCTGGTCCCTGATTTGACAGGGTTCGAAGACCCTGATCAGAGATTCTCCACCTTTCCTCTGTTCTCCCTCTCAGTGCTAGCTGTGAGAGCAGGAGGGGAGGAGGACAGACACCTGAAATGAAATCAAAGCCCTAGCAGGAAGCTGATATCCTGTCTTTCTGAGGGGAGCAAGGCCACGGGCGTGAGTGTCTGCACTGACTCCGTGCCAGAATTGTAATGAAATCCTACCCTGGCCAGTGTTTGCATTGGAAGCCATTTGTCCGGGTGCCAACAGTTCACTGTTTACAGTTTACACACACATGAGCAGCAGTTCCAGTCAGACTCTCAGTGCCTGGAGGGCCCAGGCCACACACATTTGACATACATTACTTGCACATGCTTACAATGCATAATGCTTAAAAACGAATTACACCTGTCAGCTTTAAGTAAAGTGTTAGCACTTTTATTAACAATGCCTCGGAGAGGAGACAGAGAGGAGGTGAAGGAGAGGATGAGCGCTTTGACGAGTAGCCCACCACTGATTTACACTGATCCATTAGCTCCTCTTAAAACAGAATGCTCCTCCTGAAACATCCCATAGATAAAATGAGAGATAGACCCATTAAGGGTTACTAGGGTTTAAAGGGAAAGTGTAGCAGCATAAAGGGCACATTAAGAATTCAACAGAATCATTTAATCCTATTACAGCCACGTCAGCTGGAAAGCTAAACCTAGGCAGGCAAGAAGACAAAGAATCAGCCATTTACATTGTGGAGGAGGACGGTCTCATGAGAATGAGCTATAGACCAGAGACTAGAGAGAATCCTGGCAGTTTCCACTGTGTGTGTGTCCTGGTAGGAATGTATCCCATAGGGTCAATAAAGCTGCAGCTGGTGGAAAAGTGACCTCTGCCCAGACACTCACCAAAGCAGAACTACAGTACTTTGACAAACACAGGGCAGAACCTTGAAACATTGCTCCCCATTCAAATGAGTGGTTTTATTCATGTTAGAAAGCAAAGCAGCATGAGAGGCTGGCGCTGCCAGTAGTAACTGGAAGGATACTGTAGGTTGGAACACAGGCCCTGAACCATAAGAAGTACATCATCATTCCCACAGATTCTCTGGCATTATGTCTGCTGACTGGAGCACATTACAGGGTGATCTGGAGAATGCTGTGAAGTCTATTCCTACAGTACGACTGAGTAATGCTGTGAAGTCTATTCCTACAGTACGACTGAGTAATGCTGTGAAGTATATTTCTACAGTACGACTGAGTAATGCTGTGAAGTCTATTCCTACAGTACGACTGAGTAATGCTGTGAAGTCTATTCCTACAGTACGACTGAGTAACGCTGTGAAGTCTATTTCTACAGTACGACTGAGTAACGCTGTGAAGTCTATTCCTACAGTACGACTGAGTAATACTGTGAAGTCTATTCCTACAGTACGACTGAGTAATACTGTGAAGTCTATTTCTACAGTACGACTGAGTAACGCTGTGAAGTCTATTCCTACAGTACGACTGAGTAATGCTGTGAAGTCTATTCCTACAGTACGACTGAGTAACGCTGTGAAGTCTATTCCTACAGTACGACTGAGTAACGCTGTGAAGTCTATTCCTACAGTACGACTGAGTAATACTGTGAAGTCTATTCCTACAGTACGACTGAGTAATACTGTGAAGTCTATTCCTACAGTACGACTGAGTAATGCTGTGAAGTCTATTCCTACAGTACGACTGAGTAATGCTGTGAAGTCTATTTCTACAGTACGACTGAGTAATGCTGTGAAGTCTATTCCTACAGTACGACTGAGTAATGCTGTGAAGTCTATTTCTACAGTACGACTGAGTAATACTGTGAAGTTTATCATTTCCACAGTACAAGTAACCTGGGTGTATTCAGGCCCTCTGAGCACTATTGCTAAAACCACAGTTTAAGAACTCGGTTCACTAAGAAAACAGACCCAGCCATTTTATCGCAATCATTTTAAATCACGTCGATTCTGTACTGGTACTCCCTGTATATAGCCATGTTATTTTCAGTTGTTATTTTTATTAATTATTCACTGTGTATTTATTCCTTGTGTCACTATTTCTATTTTATCTTTAACTCTGCATTGTTTGAAAGGACCCATAAGTAAGCATTTCACTGTTAGTCTACACCTGTTGTTTATGAAGCATGTGACAATTAGAATTCTTATTGATTTGATCCGTCCATACTGTGCATTCCCTCCAGCTTGCTCTCCGGCCCACGAGCCATGTATTATGTCAATAACATTCTCAGGTATGTACACAGTACAGGGACGTTGCTGGCGTTGTTCGGCCGGAAGACAGCACGCCTCTGTCCACCTCCCCTCACAACTGGTTAGTTGAGTACAGCTCTAACAACAACAGAGGCAGATATAGAGAGAGACGGCCAGCCAGGACAGCTTTAGTCTGGCTGTGTGTTTATCACTGTGATGACAGATGAGATATTGGCTGTTAAAGCCAGTGAAGAAGCCTACTAGTTGACACAACAGAAATGTCTCTATATTTTTGGACTACTATTTTTAGACTACTATTTTAGACTACTATTAAGTGTGCTATGTTACCTTCTTTCTCTACCTCTGCCTATTCTCGCTTCCTCAATACACGCACTTATACAAGAAGGCAGTATAAGCCAAATATGACTCTGTCGGTAATAAAATGATGATGATGTGTGTGTCCAAGGACTACCAAAGGATACTGCCGGCAGCCCGTTAATGAGGGGCTAATCACTCACCCAACACAGAGACATGATGAGGATCTCGCATAACAACACTGGTGACCTCAGTCACATAACACTCCTTCATCAGAGCCAGGCTTAATCAGCTGTGTCTAACGGCAGAAGAGACAAAGACAAAAAGGCAAGCAAGGAGATTGGTGAATTAGAAATTATAATGGTGAAATGAGGCTCTGTAATGTGTGAGTGTGGGGGAAGGAGCACAGAGGGGAATGAAGAGCGCGAGAGAGAGAAGATAAAGACATGTAGAGTGTCTGTGAAAAGAGAAGAGCAAAGAGGAAAAAGGCCCTCCAATCAGCTGAGGTTATTGTGATTCTCAGTTTTGAGATTGAGGATAATTAGATCCACAGTGTGAGCTCATTCCTGGGCCTCTCAGCTTCTGTGGACCAGATGGGACTGTAATTAATTAATTAATTAATTAATTAATTAATTAATTAGTTCATCTCTCTCTCTTCCGCTCTCCCTCCCTCCCTCCAATTCAATGGGCTTTATTAGCATGGGAAACATATGTTTACATTGCCAAAGCAAGTAAAATAGATAATAAACAAAATAAACAGTAAACATTACACTCACAAAAGTTCCAAAGGAATGGACATTTCAAATGTCATATTATGTCTATATACAGTGTTGTAATGATGTGCAAATAGTTAAAGTACAAAAGGGAAAAGAATAAAACATACAGTGCATTCGCAAAGTATTCAGACCCCTTCCCTTTTTCCACATTTTGTTAAGTTACATACAGCCTTATTCTGAAAGGGATCAAATAAAAATGTTTCATCAATCTACACACACAATACCCCATAATGACGAAGCAAAAACAGATTTTTAGAAAATTTTGCAAATGTATTACAGATAAAAACAGAAATACCTTATTTACATAAGTATTCAGACCCTTTGCTATGAGACCCTAAATTGAGTTCAGGTGCATCCTGTTTCCATTGATCATCCTTGAGATGTTTCTACAACTTGATTGGAGTCCACCTGTGGTAAATTCAATTGATTGGACATGATTTGGAAAGGCACACAACTGTCTATAAAAAGGTCACACAGTTGACAGTGCATGTCACAGCAAAAACCAAGCCATGAGGTCGAAGGAATTGTCCTTAGAGCTCCGAGACAGGATTGTGCCGAGGCACAGAGCTGGGGAAGGGTACCAACACATTTATGCAGCATTGAAGGTCCCCAAGAACACAGTGGCCTCCATCATTCTTAAATGGAAGAAGTTTGAAACCACCAAGACTCTTCCTAGAGCTGGCCGCCTGGCCAAACTGAGCAATCGGGGGAGAAGGGCCTTGCTCAGGGAGGTGACCAAGAACCCGATGGACAGAAGCCACTCCTCAGTAAAAGGCACATGACAGCCTGCTTGGAGTTTGCCAAAAGGCACCTAAAGGACTCTCAGACCATGAGAAACAAGATTCTCTGGTCTGATGAAACCAAGATTGAACTCTTTGGCCTGAATGCCAAGCGTCACATCTGGAGTAAACCTGGCACCATTCAGATGTTTTTCAGTGGCAGGGACTGGGAGACTAGTCAGGATCGAGGGAAAGATGAACAGATCAAAGTACAGAGATCCTTGATGAAAAAGGTTCACCTTGCAACAGGACAACAACCCTAAACACACAGCCAAGACAACACAGGAGTGGCTTTGGGACAAGTCTCTGAATGTCCTTGAGTGGTCCTTGAGTCTGAACACGATCGAACATCTCTGGAGAGACCTGAAAATAGCTGTGCAGTGACGCTCCCCATCCAACCTGACAGAGCTTGAGAGGATCTAACAGATGTAACCAAGCTTGTAGCGTCATACCCAAGAAGACTTGAGGCTGTAATCGCTGCCAAAGGTGCTTCAACAAAGTACTGAGTAAAAAAACAACCTGTTTTTGTTTTGTCATTATGGGGTATTGTGTGTAGATTGATGAGAAAAAACAAACAATGTAATCCGTTTTAGAATAAGGCTGTAACATAACACAATTTGGAAAAAGTCAAGGGGTCTGAATACTTTCCGAATGCACTGTAAATATGGGTTGTATTTACAATGGTGTTTGTTCTTCACTGGTTGCCCTTTTCTTGTGGCAACAGGTCACAAATCTTTCTGCTGTGATGGCACACTGTGGTATCTCACCCAATAGATATGGGAGTTTATCAAAAAAAGATGGATTTGTTTTCGAATTCTTTGTGGGTCTGTGGAATCTGAGGGAAACGTGTCTCTAATATGGTCATTTATTTGGCAGGAGGTTAGGAAGTGCAGCTCAGTTTCCACCTCATTTTGCGGGCAGTGTGCACATAGCCTGTCTTCTCTTGAGAGCCAGATCTGCCTACGGCGGCCTCTCTCGCTAGCAAGGCTATGCTCACTGAGTCTGTACATTGTCAAAGATTTCCTTAATTTTGGGTCAGTCACAGTGATCAGGTATTCTGCCACTGTGTACTCTCTGTTAAGGGCCAAATAGCATTCTAGTTTGCTCTTCTCCAGGTTAATCTCTCTGTAGGTGATGGCTTTGTTATGGAAGGTTTGGGAATCGCTTCCTTTTAGGTGGTTGTAGAATTTAACGTCTCTTTTCTGGATTTTGATAATTAGATGGTATCGGCATGCATTATTTGGTGTTTTACGTTGTACACAGAGGATACTTTTGCAGAATTCTGCATGCAGTCTCAATTTGGTTTTTGTCCCATTTAGTGAATTCTTGGTTGGTGAGCGGACCCCAGACCTCACAACTATAAAGGGCAATGGGTTCTATAACTGATTCAAGTATTTTTTGCCAGATCCTAATTGGTATGTCGAATGTTATGTTCCTTTTGATGGCATAGAAAGCCCTTCTAGCCTTGTCTCTCAGATCGTTCACAGCTTTGTGGAAGTTACCTGTGGCGCTGATGTTTAGGCCGAGGTATGTATCGTTTTTTGTGTGCTCTAGGGCAATGGTGTCTAGATGGAACTTGTATTTGTGGTCCTGGCAACTGGACCTTTTTTGGAACACCATTATTTTTGTCTTACTGAGATTTACTGTCAGGGCCCAGGTCTGACAGAATCTGTGCAGAAGTTATAGGTGCTGCTGTAGGCCCTCCTTGGTTGGGGACAGAAGCACCAGATCATCAGCAAACAGTATACATTTTACTTCAGAATCTAGTAGGGTGAGGCCGGGTGCTGCAGACTGTTCTAGTGTCCTCGCCAATTCGTTAATATATATGTTGAAGAGGGTGTGGCTCAAGCTGCATCCGAGTCTGTCCCCACGGCCCTGTGGAAAGAAATGTGTGTGTTTGTTGCCAATGTTAACCACACACTTGTTGTTTGTGTACATGGATTTTATAATGTTGTATGTTTCCCCCCCCAAACACCGCTTTCCATCAATTTGCATAGCAGACCCTCATGGAAATCAACAAAGCATGAGAAGACTTTGCCTTTGTTTTGGTTTGTTTGTTTGTCAATTAGGGTGTGCAGAGTGAATACGTGGTCTGTCGTACGGTAATTTGTTAAAAAGCCAATTTGACATTTGCTCAGTACATTGTTTTCACTGAGGAAATGTAAGAGTCTGCTGTTTATGCAGAGTACTTTCCCAAGGTTGCTGTTGACGCATATCCCACAATAGTTATTGGGGTCAAATCTGTCTCCACTTTTGTGGATTGGGGTGATCAGTCCTTGGTTCCAAATATTGGGGAAGATGCCAGAGCTGAGGATGATATTAAAGAGTTTAAGTATAGCCAATTGTAATTTGTGGTCTGTTTATTTTATCATTTCATTTAGGATACCATCAACACCACAGGCCTTTTTGGGTTGGAGGGTTTGTATTTTGTCCTGTAGTTCATTCAATGTAATTGGAGAATCCAGTGGTGTAATTGGATAATTCAGTGGGTTCTGGTAGTCTTTAAATAGTTGATTCTAAGATTTGTATTTGATCATGAATATGTTTTTGCTGTTTGTTCTTCGGTACAGAGCCAAATATATTGGAAAAGTGGTTTATCCATACATCTCCGTTTTGGATAGATAACTCTTCGTGTTGTTGTTTCCTCTCTGCACAGGCTACACAAATGCCTCACACCGCGTGGCTGCTGCCTCTCTAACCTGGTGGTCCCTGCACGCACCACCCACCTGGAGTTCCAGGTCTCAGGCAGCCTCTGGAACTGCCGTTCTGCTGCCAACAAGGCAGACTTCATCCCAGCCTATGCTACCCTCCAGTCCCTCGACTTCTTGGCGCTGACGGAAACATGGATTACCACTGAAAACACTGCTACTCCTACTGCTCTCTCCTCGTCTGACCATGTGTTCTCGCATACCCAGAGAGCATCTGGTCAGCGGGGTGGTGGCACAGGAATCCTCATCTCTCCCAAGTGGACATTCTCAATTTTTCCCCTAACCCATCTGTCTATCTCCTCATTTGAATTCCATGCTGTCACAGTCACTAGCCCATTTAAGCTTAATATCCTTGTCATCTATCGCCCTCCAGGTTCCCTTGGAGAGTTCATCAATGAGCTTGACGCCTTGATACATTCCTTTCCTGAGGATGGCTCACCCCTCACAGTTCTGGGGGATTTCAACCTCCCTACGTCTACATTTGACTCATTTCTCTCTGCCTCCTTCTTTCCACTCCTCTCCTCTTTTGACCTCACCCTCTCACCGTCCCCCCCTACTCACAAGGCAGGCAATACGCTTGACCTCATCTTTACTAGATGCTGTTCTTCTACTAATCTCACTGCAACTCCCCTCCATGTCTCCGACCACTACTTTGTATCCTTTTCTCTCTCGCTCTCCTCCAACACTACTCACTCTGCCCCTACTCAGATGGTAATGCGCCGTCGCAACCTTCGCTCTCTCTCTCCCGCTACTCTCTCCTCTTCCATCCTATCATCTCTTCCCTCTGCTCAATCCTTCTCCCTCCAATCTCCTGATTCTGCCTCCTCAACCCTCCTCTCCTCCCTTTCTGCATCCTTTGACTCTCTATGTCCCCTATCCTCCCGGCCGGCTCGGTCCTCCCCTCCAGCTCCGTGGCTTGATGACTCATTGCGAGCTCACAGAACAGAGCTCTGGGCAGCTGAGCGGAAATGGAAGAAAACTAGACCTGGCATCTTTTCACTCCCTCCTCTCTACATTTTCTTCATCTGTTTCTGCTGCTAAGGCCACTTTCTACCACGCTAAATTCCAAGCATCTGCCTCTAACCCTAGGAAGCTCTTTGCCACATTCTCCTCCCTGCTGAACCCCTCCCCCCTCCCACCTCCACCCCCTCCCCCCTCTCTGTGATGACTTCATCAACCATTTTGAAAAGAAGGTTGACGACATCCGATCCTCGTTTGTTAAGTCAAATGACACTGCTGGTCCTGCTCACACTGCCCAACCCTATGCTTTGACTTCTTTCTCCCCTCTCTCTCCAGATAAAATCTTGCGACTTGTGACTGCAGGCCGCCCAACAACCTGCCCGCTTGACCCTATCCCCTCCTCTCTTCTCCAGACCATCTCCGGTGACCTTCTCCCCTACCTCACCTCGCTGATCAACTCATCCTTGACCGCTGGCTATGTCCCTTCCGTCTTCAAGAGAGCGAGAGTTGCACCCCTTCTCAAAAAACCAACACTCGATCCCTCTGATGTCAACAACTACAGACCAGTATCCCTTCTTTCTTTTCTCTCCAACACTATTGAGCGTGCCGTCTTTAGCCAACTCTCTTGCTATCTCTCTCAGAATGACCTTCTTGATCCAAACCAGTCAGGTTTCAAGACTGGTCATTCAACTGAGACTGCTCTTCTCTGTGTCACGGAGGCTCTCCGCACTGCTAAAGCTAACTCTCTCTCCTCTGCTCTTGTCCTTCTAGACCTGTCTGCTGCCTTTGATACTGTGAACCATCAGATCCTCCTCTCCACCCTCTCCGAGCTGGGCATCTCCGGCGCGGCTCACTCTTGGATTGCGTCCTACCTGACCGGTCGCTCCTACCAAGTGGCGTGGCGAGAAGCTGTCTCCGCACCACGTGCTCTCACCACTGGTGTCCCCCAGGGCTCAGTTCTAGGCCCTCTCCTATTCTCGCTATACACCAAGTCACTTGGCTCTGTCATATCCTCACATGGCCTCTCCTATCATTGCTACGCTGACGACACACAACTAATCTTCTCCTTTCCCCCTTCTGATAACCAGGTGGCGAATCGCATCTCTGCATGTCTGGCAGACATATCAGTATGGATGACGGATCACCACCTCAAGCTGAACCTTGGCAAGACGGAGCTGCTCTTCCTCCCGGGGAAGGACTGCCTGTTCCATGATCTCACCATCACGGTTGACAACTCCGTTGTGTCCTCCTCCCAGAGTGCGAAGAGCCTTGGCGTGACCCTGGACAACACCCTGTCATTCTCCGCTAACATCAAGGCGGTGACCCGATCCTGTAGGTTCATGCTCTACAACATTCGGAGAGTACGACCCTGCCTTACACAGGAAGCGGCACAGGTCCTAATCCAGGCACTTGTCATCTCCCGTCTGGATTACTGCAACTCGCTGTTGGCTGGGCTCCCTGCCTGTGCCATTAAACCCCTACAACTCATCCAGAATGCCGCAGCCCGTCTGGTGTTCAACCTTCCCAAGTTCTCTCACGTCACCCCCCCTCCTCCGCACACTCCACTGGCTTCCAGTTGAAGCTCGCATCTGTTACAAGACCATGGTGCTTGCCTATGGAGCTGTGAGGGGAACGGCACCTCCGTACCTTCAGGCTCTGATCAGTCCCTACACCCAAACGAGGGCATTGCGTTCATCCACCTCTGGCCTGCTGGCTCCCCTTCCCCTGCGGAAGCATAGTTCCCGCTCAGCCCAGTCAAAACTGTTCGCTGCTCTGGCACCCCAATGGTGGAACAAGCTCCCTCACGACGCCAGGACAGCGGAGTCACTCACCACCTTCCGGAGACATTTGAAACCCCACCTCTTTAAGGAATACCTGGGATAGGATAAAGTAATCCTTCTACCCCTCTCTTACCCCAACCCCCCCCCCCCAAAAAAAATAAAAAAATAAAAATAAATACACATTGTAAAGTGGTTATCCCACTGGCTATAAGGTGAATGCACCAATTTGTAAGTCGCTCTGGATAAGAGCGTCTGCTAAATGACGTAAATGTAGTGTGTTCCAATTTTCCCAGAAGTGGTTCAATTCTATGGATTCTTCAATTACATTGAGCTGATTTCTGTCGTGCTGTTCCTTCTTTTTCCGTAGTGTTTTTCTGTATTGTTTTAGTGCTTCACCACGGTGAAGGCGTAGGCTCAGGTTATCTTAGGTTTTTGCATTCTTTATCAAACCATTTGTCATTGTTGTTAATTCTCTTAGGTTGTCTGCTTGAAGTGTTTAGATTTGATAGGGAAGCTGAGAGGTCAAATATACTGTTTAGGTTTTCTACTGCCAAGTTTACACCTTCACTATTACAGTGAAACGTTTTGTCCAGGAAGTTGTCTAAAACGGATTGAATATGTTGTTGCCTAATAGTTTTTTGGTAAGTTTCCACACTGCTTTCCTTCCATTATAGCATTTCTTAATATTATTCAGTTCCTTTGGGTTTGTCACCTCATGATTGAGTATTGCTCTGTTCAAGTAGACTGTGATTTTGCTGTGATCTGATGGGGTGTCAGTGGGCTGACAGTGAACACTCAGAGACCCTGGGTTGAGGTCAGTGATAATGTAGTCTACAGTACTACTGCCAAGAGATGAGCTATAGGTGTACCTACCGTACGAGTCCCCTCGGCGCCTACCATTGACTATGTACATACCCAGCATGCGACAGAGCTGCAGGAGTTGTGACCCGTTTTTGTTGGTTATGTTGTTGTAGTTGTGTCTAGGGGGGCATATGGGGGAGGGAATGCTATGCTGTCACCGCTCTCCCTCTCCTCCCTGACTGTTTAATTAATCTCCCTTTCTCTCTCTCGCTCTCTTGCTTTCTCTCTCCCTTTCTGGGTGGCTGATGGAGTCATTTTTACAATGACGTTCTTCTCTCGTTAAAAACGACTAAGTGCTTGAACTTTTAGTCTCCCTGTGGGCTCTGGGATTGCCTGTTTGGCTTGCTGCTGGTTTGTTGTTTTAGCCCTAACTCAATTAATATGAAAAAGCTGACAGGCAGCGGTCCTCAGGAGTCAATAACAGACTCCACTCATTCACCATTTGCCAAGTAAACACTTCATATTCAATTCTTATACTGACAGTTTTTAATACAAGTCACTGTAAACAGCAGACACTTGATCATGTTGATACAGTATGTGAGTGTTCTATTTTTACATTTAGACCACTTTCTACCTGAGAGCAGTTGAAATGACTGTTTGGTATGTATGATGAGTGTCAGTTATTATTATTTTATTTTTTTTAACTAATTGACCAACATTGGTTCAATTATTTGAATTACATTTCCTTCTGGGTTTTTCAGTGAGCTCAATGCGCTCATTGCGTAGTTTCTCTAGAGATAAATCAGATCAAACCCGAACTGTGTGATGTAGTTGGGAGTGGTAGTTTCCAACAGGACAAAATTCTATATAGTTTAGCGCAGAAAACGTGATAGTTAACTACAATGACCATAAGCCATTGCACGCCGGTGCGTTTGTTTTATGCCTGCTACGCTAGGTAGTGTCGGGCAAACACGGAGAGAAGAGACAGAAGAATGCTCTATCTAGAGGGATATAAAGAAGTTGCTTCGCAAGGTATCTGTACCTGAAAATACATTATCTAAGTGATTGATAGTTGGTATTCAGCAGTCATAAAAGTATGCCTTATTTAATTAGAAGAACTACTAAAATTGTGATTTTGTCAGACAGCATAGGCAGCAGCTCTATAGAGATTAGGACTTGGAATTAAATAATAAAGTCATCAAATAAAACAATGTTATATACACAACAACTGAAATATTTTATTAAAGTAAAGTAATGTGAATAAATTAAGGTTCATAAGTGGTAAGCAGTAATGGGCAGTTACTACCATCATGGGACTTGAAATAATTGTTTTATTCTGTGTTGTTACAGCATTCAACCCACATAATGCATAGCGCATTTAATGTTAAAAAAAAAAAAAATCGGAACTCAAATCGAAAACAGTGATTATAATCGAACCGACCACAAAAAGCACAAAGCACTTTAATCAAAACGCTGTCCTGTCCTCTCCTCCCTCTGTCCTCTCCTCCCTCTGTCCTCTCCTCCCTCTGTCCTCTCCTCCCTCTGTCCTCTCCTCCCTCTGTCCTCTCCTCCCCCTGTCCTCTCCTCCCTCTGTCCTGTCCTTAGTAAAAGCAGGGGAAACCATGCACCAGAAAACACAGGAGGGCTCCACCTCACCTCACAGACCCAGAAACAGGAGGGCTCCACCTCACCTCACTCAGACCTGGAAACAGGAGGGCTCCACCTCACCTCACCTCACTCAGACCCAGAAACAGGAGGGCTCCACCTCAACTCACCTCACTCAGACCTGGAAACAGGAGGGCTCTACCTCACCTCACTCAGACCTGGAAACAGGAGGGCTCCACCTCACCTCACAGACCCAGAAACAGGAGGGCTCCACCTCACCTCACAGACCCAGAAACAGGAGGGCTCCACCTCACCTCACCTCACTCAGACCCAGAAACAGGAGGGCTCCACCTCACCTCACTCAGACCCAGAAACAGGAGGGCTCCACCTCACCTCACTCAGACCCAGAAACAGGAGGGCTCCACAGCAGCCTCTATCCATGTTATGTATGAATCTGTGTGTCTCTGAAAAAGCACAGCAAAGGGTTAAAGAGACTCACCCCAATGGTGGAACAAGCTCCCTCACGATGCCAGGACAGCGGAGTCACTCACCACCTTCCGGAGACATTTGAAACCCCACCTCTTTAAGGAATACCTGGGATAGGATAAAGTAATCCTTCTACCCCCCCCCCCCCCCCCCTTTACTCCAACCCCCCCCCCCCCCCAAAAAAAAAGGTGTAAGGTGAATGCACCTATTTGTAAGTCGCTCTGGATAAGAGCGTCTGCTAAATGACGTAAATGTAAATGTAAATGTTCTATAGGATTGAGGTCAGGGCTTTGTGATGGCCACTCCAATACCTTGACTTTGTTGTCCTTAAGCCATTTTGCCACAACTTTGGAAATATGCTTGGGGTCATTGTCCATTTGGAAGACCCATTTGCGACCAAGCTTTAACTTCCTGACTGATGTCTTGAGATGTTGCTTGAATATATCCACATAACTTTCCTTCCTCATGATGCCATCTATCTTGTGAAGTGCACCAGTCCCTCCTGCAGCAAAGCACCCCCACAGCATGATGCTGCCACCCCTGTGCTTCACGGTTGGGATGGTGTTCTTCAGCTTGCAAGCAACACCCTTTTTCCTCCAAACATAACAATGGTCATTATGGCCAAACAGTTCTATTTTTGTTTCATCAGACCAGAGGACATTTCTCCAAAAAGTACGATCTTTGTCCCCATATGCAGTTGCAAACCGTAGTCTGGCTTTTATATGGCGGTTTTGGAGCAGTGGCATCTTCCTTGCTGAGCGGCCTTTCAGGTTATGTCGATATAGGACTCGTTTTACTGTGGATATAGATACTTTTGTACCGGTGTCCTCAAGCATCTTCACAAGGTAATTTGCTGTTGTTCTGGGATTTAATTGCACTTTTCGCACCAAAGTACGTTCATCTCTAGGAGACAGAACGCGTCTCCTTCCTGAACGGTATGACCGCTGCGTGGTCCCATGGTGTTTATACTTGTGTACTATTGTTTGTATAGATGAACGTGGTACCTTCAGGCGTTTGGAAATTGCTCCCAAGGATGAACCAGACTTGTGGAGGTCTACAATGGCTTGGCTGATTTCTTTTGATTTTCCCATGATGTCAAGCAAAGAGGCACTGAGTTTGAAGGTAGGCCTTGAAATACATCCACAGGTACACCTCCAATTGACTCAAATGATGTCAATTAGCCCATCAGAAGCTTCTAAAGCCATGACATCATTTTCTGGAATTTTCCAAGCTGTTTAAAGGCACAGTCAACTTAGTGTATGTAAACTTCTGACCCACTGGAATTGTGATACAGTGAATTATAAGTGAAATAATCTGTCTGTAAACAATTGTTGGAAAAACGACTTGTGTCATGCACAAAGTAGATATCCTAACCGACTTGCCAAAACTATAGTTTGTTAACAAGAAATTTGTGGAGTGGTTGAAAAACGAGTTTTTATGACTCCAACCTAATTGTATGTCAACTTCAGACTTCAACTGTATTAGTTCATCACACAGTACCACCGCCCTGATAATCACAGTGTGGAAAGAGATATTTTCTCCTTCTGTAGTTCCCTGTTATGGTACGCATCAATACTTTCTATTCCACTTCATCACTTACCACTGGTGTTCATTTAGAATGGATTACTCTGGAACAACACACAATGTTCCTAGGATTATAGATGAAGAGAGAGGGAGAGAGGGAGCGAGAGAGCAATCCTCCAGTGGATCCACATTGTTTCCTTCTGCCAAAGGGGGATTCTTATCAAAAACGCTGCCAGGACCATCATGAAAGGATATGGCAATTAACAAAGACACACACACACACACACACACACACACACTGAGGTAAAAAGGCGTGTTGAGCAGTGGGGCGTGAGGGGGTATTTACATAGCCTAGCAGAGTGCTTGTCACATTTAATTAATTACTCTCTGCTCGGGTGACAAACTTGATTAAACAAGAGAAAATATCCCCATAACATCCAATAATATATAATCCACGTCCTGCCTGCTTGGCCTGCTTCCTTTCAACATATTGCCAAATACGTTCTTCAAATGAGACACGTTTCGATGAAAGTTAGACGGTTTTTCTTTTTCTCAAGGGGGAAGTACCACGACTCCCTCTTCTCTCTTTAAAATAGGGATGAAAAACAGACCGAGAGAGGGAGGACGACAAATAGAGGGAGGGAGAGAAAGATAATGTTTATGAGGTGTTCTGTGATCATAATGAGTGGAGTTGGGTTTTATTGAAATGAGGAGGAAGAACAGAAGCGGTTTGCTGCAGGAGGAGAAGAAAGGATGGAGAAATAAATAAAGAAGCTAATGAGCATCAGTGTCCTCTCCTCACATCTGATGCCTCTCACCCTTCCTGTCCTCCTTCACACAGACTATTAACACTGTTGTCACGTCAATTAGTACTCTAGGTGAGGACAGACAGAACACACAGCCTTTGATAAACAGATGGTGGATGTTTCTACTCGTTGCACTATAAAAGGAATACAGTACAAATCAAGAGGGGAATTAGCCTTGTATCTTTGAATCAGTGGCAGTTGGGATGAGGGAGGACGATATTTTTATGAGCATGGCCATATTTATATTACAGCATATTGGATGACTGTTGTGCTGATTTACAGAAATAATATAACTGGCCTTCTTGAGACTAGTTGAGTATCTGGAGCATCAGCAATTGTGGGTTCGATTACAGGCTCAAAATGGCCAGAAACAAATAACTTTCTTCTGAAACCCGTCAGTCTATTCTTGATCTGAGAAATTAAGGCTATTCCATGCGAGAAATTGCCAAGAAACTGAAGATCTCGTACAACGCTGTGTACTACTCCCTTCACAGAACAGCGCAAACTGGCTCTAACTAGAATAGAAAGAGGAGTGGGAGGCCCCGATGCACAACTGAGCAAGAGGACAAATACATTAGTGTCTAGTTCGAGAAACAGGCGCCTCACAGGTCCTCAACTGGCAGCTTCATTAAATAGTACCCGCAAAACACTAGTCTCAACGTCAACAGTGAAGATGCGACTCTGGGATGCTGACCTTCTAGGCAGAGTTGCAAAGAAAAAGCCATATCTCAGACTGGCCAATAAAAATAAAAGATTAAGATGGGCAGTCTGAGATATGGCTTTTGCTTTGCAACTCTGCCTAGAAGGTCAGCATCCCGGAGTCGCCTCTTCACTGTTGACGTTGAGACTGGTGTTTTGCGGGTACTATTTAATGAAGCTGCCAGTTGCTCCCCTGTAGCTCAGTTGGTAGAGCATGGCGCTTGCAATGCCAGGGTTGTGGGTTCGTTTCCCATGGGGGGCCAGTATGAATGTGTGCACTCACTAACTGCAAGTCGCTCTGGATAAGAGTGTCTGCTAAATGACTAAAATGTAAAATGTAAATAATGGGCCTCTGTATGCCTATGTAGATATTCCATTAAAAATCTGCCGTTTCCAGCTACAAGAGCCATTTACAACATTAAGAATGTCTACACTGTATTTCTGATCAATTTGCTTTTCTTTCGAAAACAAGGGCATTTCTAAGTCACCCCAAACTTTTGAATGGTAGTGTACATATATGGACAAGCAATGACAGAGCGGCATGGACTAAGATACAGTAGAATATTATAGAATACAGTATATACATATGAGACGAGTAGTGCAAGATATGTAAACATTATTAAAGTGACTAGAGTTCCATTTCTTAAAGTGGCCAGTGATTTCAAATAGGCAGCAGCAGCCTCTAATGTGCTAGTGATGGCTATTTAACAGTCGGATGGCCTTGAGATAGAAGCTGTTTTTCATTCTCTCGGTCCCAGCTTTGATGCACCTGTACTGACCTCGCCTTCTGGATGATAGCGGAGTGAACAGGCAGTGGCTCGGGTGGTTGATGTCCTTGATGATCTTTTTGGCCTTCCTGTGACATCAGGTGCTGTAGGTGTCCTGGAGGGCGGGTAGTTTGCCCCTGGTAATGCGATCGGCAGACCGCACCACTCTCTGGAGAGCCCTGCGGTTGCGGCGGTGCAGTTGCCGTACCAGGCGGTGATACAACTCGACAGGATGCTCTCAATTGTGCATCTGTAAAGGTTTGTGAGGGTTTTAGGTGCCAAGCCAAATATTTTCCGCCTCCTGAGGTTGAAGAGGCTCTGTTGCGCCTTCTTCACCACACTGTCTGCGTGGGTGGACCATTTCAGTTTGTCAGTGATGTGTACGCCAAGGAACTTGAAGCTTTCCACCTTCTCCACTGCGGTCCCGTCGATGTGGATAGGGGGGTGCACCCTCTGCTGTTTCCTGAAGTCAATGATCATCTCCTTTGTTTTGTTGACGTTGAGTGAGAGGTTATTTTCCTGGCACCACACTCCCAGAGCCCTCACCTCCTCCCTGTAGGCTGTCTCATCATTATTGGTAATCAAGCCTACTACTGTTGTGTCATCTGCAAACTTGATGATTGAGTTGGAGGCGTGCTTTGCCACGCAGTCATGGGTGAACAGGGAGTATACAGTGGGGAGAACAAGTATTTGATACACTGCAGATTTTGCAGGTTTTCCTACTTACAAAGCATGTAGAGGACTGTAATTTTTATCATAGGTACACTTCAACTGTGAGAGACGGAATCTAAAACAAAAATCCAGAAAATCACATTGTATGATTTTTAAGTAATTATTTTGCATTTTATTGCATGACATAAGTATTTCATCACCTACCAACCAGTAAGAATTCCGGCTCTCACAGACCTGTTAGTTTTTCTTTAAGAAGCCCTCCTGTTCTCCACTCATTACCTGTATTAACTGCACCTGTTTGAACTCGTTACCTGTATAAAAGACACCTGTCCACACACTCAAACAGTCTCCAACCTCTCCACAATGGCCAAGACCAGAAAGCTGTGTAAGGACATCAGGGATAAAATTGTAGACCTGCACAAGGCTGGGATGGGCTACAGGACAATAGGCAAGCAGCTTGGTGAGAAGGCAACAACTGTTGGCGCAATTATTATAAAATGGAAGAAGTTCAAGATGACGGTCAATCACCCTCGGTCTGGGGCTCCATGCAAGATTTCACCTCATGGGGCATCAATGATCATGAGGAAGGTGAGGGATCAGCCCAGAACTACACGGCAGGACCTGGTCAATGACCTGAAGAGAGCTGGGACCACAGTCTCAAAGAAAACCATTAGTAACACACTACGCCGTCATGGATTAAAATCCTGCAGTGCACGCAAGGTCCCCCTGCTCAAGCCAGCGCATGTCCAGGCCCGTCTGAAGTTTGCCAATGACCATCTGGATGATCCAGAGGAGGAATGGGAGAAGGTCATGTGGTCTGATGAGACAAAAATAGAGCTTTTTGGTCTAAACTCCACTCGTCGTGTTTGGAGGAAGAAGAAGGATGAGTACAACCCCAAGAACACCATCCCAACCGTGAAGCATGGAGGTGGAAACATAATTCTTTGGGGATGCTTTTCTGCAAAGGGGACAGGACGACTGCACCGTATTGAGGGGAGGATGGATGGGGCCATGTATCGCGAGATCTTGGCCAACAACCTCCTTCCCTCAGTAAGAGCATTGAAGATGAGTCGTGGCTGGGTCTTCCAGCATGACAACGACCCGATACACACAGCCAGGGCAACTAAGGAGTGGCTCCGTAAGAAGCATCTCAAGGTCCTGGAGTGGCCTAGCCAGTCTCCAGACCTGAACCCAATAGAAAATCTTTGGAAGGAGCTGAAAGTCCGTATTGCCCAGCGACAGCCCCGAAACCTGAAGGATCTGGAGAAGGTCTGTATGGAGGAGTGGGCCAAAATCCCTGCTGCAGTGTGTGCAAACCTGGTCAAGACCTACAGGAAACGTATGATCTCTGTAATTGCAAACAAAGGTTTCTGTACCAAATATTAAGTTCTGCTTTTCTGATGTATCAAATACTTATGTCATGCAATAAAATGCAAATTAATTACTTACAAATCATACAATGTGATTTTCTGGATTTTTGTTTTAGATTCCGTCTCTCACAGTTGAAGTGTACCTATGATAAAAATTACAGACCTCTACATGCTTTGTAAGTAGGAAAACCTGCAAAATCGGCAGTGTATCAAATACTTGTTCTCCCCACTGTAGGAGGGGGCGGAGCACGCACTCAGTGTTGAGGATCAGCGAAGTGGAGATGTTGTTTCCTACCTTCACCACCTGGGGGCAGACCGTCAGGAAGTCCAGGACACAGTTGCACAGGGCGGGGTTCAGACCCAGGGCCTCAAGCTTAATGATGAGCTTGGAGGGTACTATGGTGTTGAATGCTGAGCTATAGTCAATGAACAGCATTCTTACATAGGTATTCCTTTTGTCCAGATGGGATAGGGCAGTATGCAGTGTGATGGCGATTGCATCGTCTGTGGATCTATTGGGGCAGTAAGCAAATTGAAGTGGGTCTAGGGTGACAGGTAAGGTAGAGGTGATATGATCCTTGACTGAGTGCTACGGGGCGATAGTCATTTAGTTCAGTTACCTTTGCTTTCTTGGGTACAGGAACAATGGTGGCCATCTTGAAGCATGTGGGGACAGCAGACTGGGAAAGGGAGAGATTGAATATGTCCGTAAACACACCAGCCAGCTGATCTGTGCATGCTCTGAGGACGCGGCTAGGGATACCGTCTGGGCCGGCAGACTTGCGGGGGTTAACATGCTTAAATGTCTTACTCACATCGGCCATGGAGAAGGAGAGGCCACAGTCCTTGGTAGTGGGCCTCGTCGGTGGCACTGTGTTATCCTCAAAGCGGGCGAAGAAGGTGTTTAGCTTGTCTGGAAGCGAGACGTCAGTGTCGGCGACGTGGCTGGTTTTCCTTTTGTAGTCCTTGATTGTCTGTAGACCCTGCCACATACGTCTCGTGTCTGAGCCGTTGAATTGCGACTCCACTTTGTCTCTATACTGACGTTTCGCCAGTTTAATTGCCTTACGGAGTGAGTAGCTACACTGTTTGTATTCTGTCATATTCAAAGAATGGCCCGTACTGAAGAGCTCAGTGACTTTTAACGCGGCACCGTCATAGGATGCCACCTTTCCAACAAGTCAGTTTGTCAAATTTCTGCCCTGCTAGAGCTGCCCTGGTCAACTGTAAGTGCTGTTATAGTGAAGTGGGAACGTCTAGGAGCAACAACGGCTCCGCTGCAAAGTGGTAGGCCACACCAGCTCACAGAACAGAACCGGGGCGAGTGCTGAAGCGCGTAAATATAGTCTGTCCTCGGTTGCAACACTCACTACAGAGTTCCAAACTGCCTCTGGAAGCAACGTCAGCACAATAACTGTTTGTCAGAAGCGTCATGAAATGGGTTTCCATGGCCGAGCACAAGCCTAAGATCACCATGCGCAATGCCAAGCGTCGGCTGGAGTGGTGTAAAGCTCGCCGCCATTGGACTCTGGAGCAGTGGAAATGCGTTCTCTGGAGTGATGAATCACGCTTCACCATCTGGCAGTCCGACTGATGAATCTGGGTTTGGCGGATGCCAGGAGAACGCTACCTGCCCGAATGCATAGTGCCAACTGTAAAGTTTGGTGGAGGAGGAATAATGGTCTGGGATTGCGTTTCATGGTTCAGGCTATGCCCCTTAGTTCCACTGAAGGGAAATCTTAACACTACAGCATACAATTACATTTTAGACAATTATGTGCTTTCAACTTTGTGGCAACAATTTGGGGAAGGCCTTTTCCTGTTTCAGCATTACAATGGCCCCGTGCACAATGCAAGGTCCATACAGAAATGGTTTGTGGAGATCGGTGTGGAAGAACTTGACTGGCCTGCACAGAGCCCTGACCTCAACCCCATCAAACACCTTTGGGATGAATTGGAACACAGACTGCGAGCCAGGCCTAATCACCCAACATCAGAGCCCGACCTCACTAAAGCACTTGTGGCTGAATGGAAGCAAGTCCCAGCAGCAATGTTCCAACATCTAATGGAAAGCCTTCCCAGAAGAGTGGAGGCTGTTATAGCAGAAAAGGGGGGACCAATTCCATATTAATGGCCATGATTTTGGAATGAGAAGTTCTACGAGCAGGTGTTGACATACACTACATGGCCAAAAGTATGAAAAATATTAAATCACACTCATTGCTTTTATCTCACAAAATACATATTGAAATGTTATTTTGTTGTGTCAACATTTACAAACCAAACACTAGAAAACCCCACATGGGTTTATAGAAGACTTGGAGGGGAGCTTGGGCCTGTTTCTGTAAGAATGAACAAAACACCCCAAAGGGATTCTGTAAGAATGAACAAAACACCCCGAAGGGATTCAATACAGAAATCTACAATTCAAATGTGTGAGAGCTCTTCCTCACAGTGCTCTGTACTGAAAGATACCCCAGCAGCAGTCTGTGGCCAATTCTTCACTCATAGCTCTCACACACACCCACACACCTTTCTGAGGTGACCAACCTGCCGCTGCCTGACGCCGAAGTGAATCCATTCGTCATGAAACTGCTTTCAGAATGGACATCATTCAAATAACCCATTTTCATACAAATGTCATTTTCAATACAAATGTCTCCCCATGAAATCTCTTTTCCCCCTCTCCCTTTGGCCCTTTGTCAGTGAATATAATAGCATGCTTCATTGAGATTATCTATAGCTGGGGCCGAGGGCTACACCTCACGCTAAGAGAGGTATAACAAACACACTAACTGGGGAGAAATAGTTTTAAAACCGTGACGGGAGTGTTTTTAGTCATGAAGTATATTTTATCTCAATCACCCACACCTTTAACTTTTTTCAGCTCATACAAACACTTCTCTCTCCCTCTCTTACATACACACACATACACACACACACACTTTACCTCCCCAAGGCGTCAGTCTCTCCGACAACAAACGCTGACTCACCAAAGACCCACACAATGAAAACACACAGAAACCCTTGATTGACAGGCGTGTGTTTTAGCATCGTGGCACCCCCACCACTATAACTTAGTGTAAAATAAACTATAATTGCTTAGCCAGTGTTTGTGTGCATTGAAAAGGTGAACGAGTGCCTTTCCCAGCCGCGGGAGTCGGAGCAAATACAGCAACGGGCAAGCAACATTACTAGATTGATCCCAGTAGTGATAACACTGGCCAATCAGGTCAATCACTTCTCTTTCTACTCTTGCTGTGACTCACAACTCAGACAGCTCTGATAGTATTCAGACTTCTAATATTTTTCCACATTTTGTTACGTTACAGCCTTATTCTAAAATGAATTAAATTGTTTTTTCCCCCCCTCATCAATCTACACACAATACGGCAGGTAGCTTAGTGGTTAAGAGCGTTGTGCCAGTAACCGAAAGGTCGCAGGTTCTAATCCCCGAGCCGGCTAGTTGAAAAAGCTGTCGATATGCCCTTGAGCAAGGCACTTAATCCTAATTGCTCCCGTAAATCGCTCTGGATAAGAGCGTCTGCTAAATTACAAAAAAAAAAAAAAAACATAGTGACAAAGCAAAAACTGGTTTTTAGAATGTTTTGCAAATGTATAATTCAAAACACCCGGAAATATCACATTTACATAAGTATTCAGATCCTTTACTCAGTACTTTGTTGAAGCACCTTCGGCAGCGACTACAGCCTTGAGTCTTCTTGGGTATGACGCTACAAGCCTGGCACACCTGTATTTGGGGAGTTTTCCCATTCTTCTCTGCAGATCCTCTCAAGCTCTGTCAGGTTGGATGGGGAGTGTCGCTGCACAGCTATTTTCAGGTCTCTCCAGAGATTCAAGTCCGGGCTCTGGCTGGGCCACTCAAGGACATTCAGAGAATTGTCCCGAAGCCACTCCCGAGTTGTCTTGGCTGTGTGCTTAGGGTCGTTGTCCTGTTGGAAGGTGAACCTTGGCCCCAGTCTGAGGTCCTGAGCACTCTGGAGCAGGTTTTCATCAAGGGTCTCTCTGTACTTTGCTCCGTTCATCTTTGCCTCGATCCTGACTAGTCTCCCAGTCACTGCCGCTGAAAAACATCCCCATAGCATGATGCTGCCACCACCATGCTTCACCGTAGGGATGGTGCCAGGTTTCCTCCAGACACAACGCTTGGCATTCAGGCCAAAGAGTTCAATCTTGGTTTCATCAGACCAGAGAATCTTGTAGATCATCAAGGACATCAACCACCCGAGCCACTGCCTGTTCACCCCGCTATCATCCAGAAGGCGAGGTCAGTACAGGTGCATCAAAGCTGGGACTGAGAGAATGAAAAACAGCTTCTATCTCAAGGCCATCAGACTGTTAAATAGCCATCACTAGCAAATTAGAGGCTGCTGCTGCCTATTGAAATCACTGGCCACTTTAAGAAATGGAACACTAGTCACTTTAATAATGTTTACATATCTTGCACTACTCATCTCATATGTATATACTGCATTCTATTCTATAATATTCTATGGTCTCTTAGTCCATGCCGCTCTGTCATTGCTTGTCCATATATGTATATATTCTTAAATCCCATTCCTTACTAGTTTTGTGTGTATTGGGTATATGTTGTGAAATTGTTAGATATTACTTGTTAGATATTACTGCACTGTCGGAGCTAGAAGCACAAGCATTTCGCTACACCCGCTATAACATCTGCTAAACACGTGTATGTGACAAATAACATTTTATTTTATTTTATTTGTTTCTCATGGTCTGAGAGTCTTTAGGTGCCTTTTGGCAAACTCCAAGCAGGCTGTCATGTGCCTTTTACTGAGGAGTGGCTTCCGTCTGGCCACTCTACCATAAAGGCCTGATTGGTGGAGTGCTGCAGAGATGGTTGTCCTTCTGGAAGGTTCTCCCATCTCCACAGAGGAACTCTAGAGCTCTGTCAAAGTGACCATCTGGTTCTTGGTCACCTCCCTGACCAAGGCCCTTCTCCCCCGATTGCTCAGTTTGGCCGGGTGGCCAGCTCTAGGAAGAGTCTTGATGGTTCCAAACTTCTTCCATTAAAGAATGATGGAGGGCACTGTGTTCTTGGGGACCTTCAATGCTGCAGAAATGTTTTGGTACCCTTCTCCATATCTAAGGACAATTCCTTCGACCTCATGGCTTGGTTTTTGCTGTGACATGCACTGTCAACTGTGGGACCTTTTATAGACAGTTGTGTGCCTTTCCAAATCATGTCCAATCAATTGAATTTACCACAGGTGGACTCCAATTAAGTTGTAGAAACATCTTAAGGATGATCAATGGAAACTCAATTTCGAGTCTCAATGAATACTTATGTAAATAAGGTTTTTCAGATTTTTATAAAATTGCAAACATTTCTAAAAAACCTGTTTTCGCTTTGTCATTATGGGGTATTGTGTGTAGATTGCTAAGGATTTTTTATTTTTTTTAATCAATTTTAGAATAAGGCTGTAACGTAACGAAATGTGGAAAAGGTCAAGGGGTCTGAATACTTTCCGAAGGCACTGTATGTATGTATGTATGTATGTATGTATGTATGTATGTATGTATGTATGTATGTATGTATGTATGTATGTATGTATGTATATATATATATATATATATATAAGTATGTGGACACCCCTTAAAAAACTATCAGTGGATTCTGCTATTTCAGCCATACCCATTGCCATACCCATACAGCCATGGAATCTCCATAGACAAACATTGGCAGTAGAATGGCCTTACTGAAGAGCTCAGGGACTTTCAACATGGCACCGTCATACGATGCCACCTTTCCAATAAGTCAATTCATCAAATTCTTGCCCTGCTAGAGCTGCCCCGGTCAACTGTAAGTTCTGTTATTGTGATGTGGAAACGTCTAGGAGCAACAACGGCTCAACCGCGAAGTGGTAGGCCCCACAAGCTCACAGAACAGGACCAGCGAGTGCTGAAGCGCGAGCGCGTAAAAATAGTCTGTCCTCGGTTGCAACACTCACTACCGATCGGGAGCTTCTTGAAATAAAATGTGTTTCCATGGTCGAGCAGCCGCACAGCTCGCCGCCATTGGACTCTGGAGCAGTGGAAACACGTTCTCTGGAGTGATGAATCACACTTTACCATCTGGGAGTCCGACGGAAGAATCTGGGTTTGGCGGATGCCAGGAGCACTCTACCTGCCCCAACGCGTAGTGCCGACTGTAAAGTTTGGTGGAGGAGGAATAATGGTCTGGGGCTGTTTTTCATGGTTCAGGCTAGGTCCCTTAGTTCCAGTGAAGGGAAATCTTAACGCTACAGCATACGATTACATTTTAGACGATTCTGTGCTTCCAACTTTGTGGCAACAGTTTGGGGAAGGCCCTTTCCTATTTCAGCATGACAATGCCCCCATGCACAAAGTGAGGTCCATACAGAAATGGTTTGTCAAGATCGGTGTGGAAGAACTTGACTGGCCTGCACAGAGACCTCAACCCCATTGAATACCTTTGGGATGAATTGGAAAGCCGACTGCGAGCCAGGCCTAATCGCCCAACATCAGTGCCCAACCTCACTAATGCTCATGGGTGAATGGAACAAGTCCCCGCAGCAATGTTCCAACATCTATTGGAAAGACTTACCAGAAGAGTAGAGGCTGTTATAACAGCAAAGGGGGGACCAACTCCATATTAATGCCCATGATTTTGGAATGAGAAGTTTGACGAGCAGGTGTCCACATACTTTTGGTCATGTAGTGTATATTCATCTCACAGTCAGCCTAACAGACAGAAAAACCGCATTGTAAATGTAGGCAGCACTACAATAATGTATCTATCTGTATACCATTCATCTGACTGACTCAGCCAACACAGCACAGGCCCTTCACAATCCCCTTTCCTTCTATGTCATGCACAGCACAGACAGACAGAGTGCCTCAAGTGTCACAAACACATAAAACAGGCTCACACACGTACACACACACACACACACACACACACACACACAGACAGTCATAAAACAGCCAATCAACAAGCTCCTACCTGCAGTTAGGTGGCGGGTCCAAGGTTATCTCAGCCAGCTCCTTCTGAATCCTGGGGAAAGAGGTGGAACACACATGTTATGCACACATCCATTTTATACACAAACATCACACACAGATTATATACTGAGTGTACAGACTGACAAGGTGAATCCAGGTGAAAGCTATGATCCCTTATTGATGTCACTTGTTAAATCCACTTCAAATCAGTGTAGATGAAGGGGAGGAGACAGGTTAATGAATGATTTTTAAGCCTTGAGACAATTGAGACATGGACTATGGGCAAGACAGAAGATTTAAGTGCCGTTTGAACCGGGTATGGTAGTATGTGCCAGGTGCACTGGTTTGTGTCAATAACTGCAACACTGCTGGGTTTCCCAAGAATGGTCAACCAACCAAAGCACATCCAGCCAACTTGACACAACTGTGGGAAGCATTGGAGTCAACATGGGCCAGGATCCCTGTGGAACGCTTTCGACCCCTTGTAGAGTCCATGCCCCGACGAACTGAGGCTGTGTAATACGATACACACGCAGACGCAGACACAGACTAGCTAGTGTGTTATATAAATCCTGCCAATAAAATCAATCTGTAAGTGTACACACTGAATAACTCATTGATGTCTTAATGAGCTCCTAGAGTTGTGATTGAATACAGGAATACGTCCTGTCAGGCTATATCAACATTGGGATGCACTGTTGAATTCCTCACCTAGTTTCATGGGCCTGTGTAAATTGACATTGACGTCAGACAGGCCTTGCTAGGTAAAATAGTCATATCTGCTTTCTGGACAAATACATCGAGGCAGATTGAGATAAGGATTTTAATGACTCAGGGTGAACTAAATCTGATTTTGATTTAGTCCCTCTCTCCTCTCTCTCCCCTACTCTCCCCCTCTCTTTCCCTCCTCTTCTTTCCTTCCCTCTCCCCCTACCTCTCTCTCTCCCTTCCCCCTCCCTCTCTCCCTACCTGTTGGAAGTATTTTTAGAAGAATACATAAATAAACAGTGGTTTAGTTTAGTGAGTAGACGGGATCAGGGCAGTGATTTGCTCTGAAGATTTCAACAGGCAGGTGCATTTTTTCTTACAATCTGTTACCTCACCGTCCATTAAGGCTGCAATATTCCACTCACACTGAGCCAATACTGACAATAGGCTACTCTCCAAGGGGTTGGAACAGAACCAAAAACTGGAAAATAACAACATTTTTAGATGGGCAGAATCAGAACCAGGAACGAAAGTGATCTATACTGTTCCGGAACAGAACCGTTATTTTAAAAGCATGGGAAAAGGTTAATAATGTTATTTTACGTTCAGGGCACTTTTTTCCAGTCCCCCTAAAAAACGCAACAAAGCGCCTATGCAAAGCCCTCCCTCTGTCACTCAGAAGCGTATTCCAGTGTCTACCTGCCAGCTGGAGATCTTTGCCAGTGTGTGTGTGTGTTTAGGCTACCTGCCCCTCCCCCCTCCGAAGCATAGGCTACTGTAGCCTCAGAAATTAGGGAGAGATTTTTAATTAGAGAAGAATGAATTCACTTTTTCAATGTTAGTTAAGGATACTATAGTTATAACGTTTCACATTGGATTTATTAACTATAAATAGGTAAGCCGTGTTTTTACTTAAATTCTGGTGACGCTCTGCACACACAAGCTTGTTAGCTAGCTAGCTCTGGTCCAACGTTAAGCCAACTCTCGGGAAGTTCAAAGACATTCAAAGTTCCCTCCTAGAAGCCCTCCTCTGTAGGTATACTTCTGTGGGCCTAATAAAGATAATGCATGTCATAACAAGATGCCCAGCGCTTCAAGCCAAGCCTCCTCCTCCACCCTCTCTCACCACCCACAACATTTCAGTTGCATCTCGGGCCCTACACTTGTCTGTCCAATGCATGTATACAACTAGTTATAGCTTGCCCGCTCCATAGTAAGCTGCTCTATCCACACTGATTGGTGAAGTCATTTAATGTTGAGCTAAATGTTAAAAAAAAAATTGACTTCAGAGGTTTAAAAAGGAACAGAAAGGAATGATATAAACTGTTACATTTTTGGGGTTTGAACTGATTCAGAACTTTATTTTGCTGGTCAGAACAGTGGAACGGAACAAAATGAATAATCATAACCCTACAGATTGAGATATGAACTTGGTTCTGAATGTAGCAAGGGTCTCAGAGTAGGAGTGCTGATCTAAATCCTAGTCTGAGACACTTCATACATACAGCCCCTGGCCCTAAATCATCTATTCACAATGTTCACAACAACTGATTACACTATCTGTTAGATGAGCAATACAAACAGTCAGCTGCGGCCATGGTGGAGGACAACGACAAGCAGCCTTTCAATAACAGGAGACAGGGAAGCATCACAACATCAATAGAAATGGCAACCCACCGTTCACCACCACCACCGCTCAGAGCGGGAGAGAACCTCAGGTGGTCCTTTTGTTCATTTCACCTGTCATCCCTGTCGGCTCGTTCCCTCGGTACTCTCCAAATGCCACGGCACGGAGGAGTGCACACATGCACGCGCGCACACGCACACACACACACACACACACACACACACACACACACACACACACACACACACACACACACACACACACACACACACACACACACAGAGGAGTGCTGACAGGCAGGCACCACACCTCAGGGAGCGAGCGAGGGAAGAGTAGAACAAACGATCCCTTCCTCTCCTCTGTGTGCGCTTGTATTGATAATAAACTCTCTGATTAATGATGAGAGGAGACTGAGGGTAAATCATTGGGGCCTACTATTCCCTACAGGCAGGGGCTGTATAACTGTAATACAATCACTGCGGTTATGGAGTAAGTCGTTCCCAGGCTTAAATGCATGATACGCTCTGTAATTTTATCTACAGTATTTTCTACTGAGGTGGCACATTTTACGTGGTAAGGCTGCAGGCTGTTAAGAGCGGATGGAAGGAGGAATGAACGAGGGAATCCAGGGGGAAATGGACCAATTACAGAACATGCAGGACTCCCTCTCTCACGTTCACTCATCCATGGGCTCTCTCTCTGTGACACAAACACTTTGTTTTTCTCTAATGTCCCTCAGATCATTGCATTTCATAATAACCCATTGATGGTTATAATAAACCCACTGCTTTAAGGTGCATCTGAGTCAATATCATCTCCGTATTATACTGCAAATTACATTCTTGGCTCGGAATGGTGCAAGTACACTGATTGTACAAAACATTAAGAACACCTTCCTAATATTGAGTTGCCTCAATTCATCGGGGCATGGACCCCTGTGGAAGGTGGCGGAAGCGTTCCACAGGGATGCTGGCCCATGTTGACTCCAATGCTTCCCACAGTTGTGTCAAGTTGGCTGGATGTCCTTCGGGTGGTGGACCATTCTTGATCCACACAGTAAACTGTTGAGCGTGAAAACCCAGCAGCGTTGTAGTTCTTGACACAAACCGGTGCATCTGGCACTTACTACCATACCCTGTTCAAAAGGCACTTAAACCTTTGTCTTGCCCATTCACCATTCTGAATGGTACACATACACAATCCATGTCTCAATTGTCTCAAGGCTTAAAAATCCTTCTTTAACCTGTCTCCTCCACTTCATCTACACTGATTGAAGTGGATTTAACAAGTGACATCAATAAGAGATCATAGCTTTCACCTGGATTCACCTGGTCAGTCTATGTCATGAAAAGAGCAGGTGTTCTTAATGTTTTGTACACTCAGTATTCTGGATAGTCCATTGTTGAGCTTGAGCTGTATTCCAAAGAAATTCCACAAAAAACATAAATGCACTACCTGCATATTGTATTTGAACAAGACCATCAAGGACACTTTATTACACAATCTACATGGACAGAATAGAATAGAGAGAATTGCAGATCTACCTCTTGGCGCTGGTGGAGAGCTTGGCAGCGGTCTTGCTGGATATCTTGGGCTCTTTCTTCTTGGGTGTTGTCTGATCCCTCTCCCTCTCCTGACCCTGAACCGGTGGGGCCACCTCTCTCTGCTCCACGTCCCAGCTGCCCCCACTGGTGTTGGGACTATCGTCCGGCCTTGAGCTGGGCTGCACCTCACTGGACATCCTGGCTCTGGGACACACACACAAACACACATATAAGTCGAGGGTTTGGGGTTTCCCTACACACCTTGCAAAGCAAGCTCATCACCTGCCTAAAGCTATAGCAGTCGAAGGTGAGAATCCTATTGGTTCTGTGGTTGTCTTTCAGTCAGTAGCTATTCTGATAGAAGTACGGTATTAAAAACCAAACGACCAGAGACGGCCAGCCAGCCACAGCCAACAGAATGAAATACTGTTCCCCTCCTAGCTCTCAGGTCTTTTAAAGGCCATTATAGTAAGGCAGGCTGGTGCCATGTCCTCACGGACCAGCTCACACTACAGCCTCTATTTATAATCAAAGCTCCTTCTACATATTTTTATTTTTAATTTATCCAATTACTGTCTGTGCAGAATGTTGCCCAATGGATCCTGAATGTTCATGACCATTGAGGAAATTTAATTTCCCAACATACCATATGAGCCCTCAAGGTGAAGCTGTATATTTTGAACATTCACAGAATGAGAAGTAGTTGTTTGGGTAAATGGGGGTTGTGTGCAGTGTGTGTAGGGCTACTGTAAAGGAGCAGATGGTTGCTGAAATGAGCATCACATTCCAGAAAGAGCATGATGACAGACAACAGATCGTCAATCAATGCTAAGTGCAGTTAAACCACACACACTTTGGTCATGAACATTCAGGATCCATTGGGCAACATTCTGCACAGACAGCAATTGGATAAATAAATAAAATAAAAATCCTGATACAGTGATTGGTGATTTCTACTGAGGCAACTGAGGAGTGTTGTTAATAGGCTAAGCATACAATAACAAATAAGTATCTTCTATAAAACATTATGTTTCTATTCTCTTTTACTGATTCTATTATATGAGTCATTTATATTTGACAAGTTAAAGGATCAATAGAAAATACTGTGAGATTTGGCTATCAAAGACATTGGCGCACTTTGTAACAATAACTTAACACCATCAATGTAACACAGCTGGTAGAGCACGGCGCTTGTAACGCCAGGGTAGTGGGTTCGATCCTCGGGACCACCCATACACAAAAAAAAACGTATGCACGCATGACTGTAAATCGCTTTGGATAAAAGCGTGTGGCATATTATTATTTATTATTAACCAACGGAACACTCCACAACCCCCTCAATGAGAATATCGTTCTTCTCCCAGGCCATCCGCTCTTTAAACACTTTCAGTGTTCTCCTTTTGAACCAAGCCGGTGATGATAAAAACTGGTAAAAAGTAAAAAATCCCGCGCTACATTGGTCTCACAGTCATTCATACACCAACAAATACGGATGAGCACATTTATTTTCTAGTGTAAATAATCCCTGTTGTCACGCGGGGCTGTCAGAATAACTGATCCAGTAGATCTACTGCTGGGGGAGCAGCAGTCATATCGCGTGCACTACACATAATTGAGAAGGCCTAAAAATTAACACCCTAACGTTAATCGGAGAGCCCTCGTGTGCCATCATAGCCTAAAGGTACACACAACACAAAATGTTCGAAGCAGCTTGAGAGAAATATTAGCTATGAAGCTTTCTAGTGCCCACATCAAGAAGAGCCGTCTCCGCACAAAAGACACCGAACACCCCACAACCCCATGAGGATATCGTTCTTCTCCCGGGCCATCGGCTCTTTAAACATTACTTTCAATGTGCAGTTGTTACAATGTTTCTGAAAGAGATTACCTTCCAAATAGTTGACACACGGACGGTCGATGCAAACAATCTTCTATCAACCCCTGAAGTAGGCTATATCCCGTGTGTTGCTCGGCCGTTCTATTCGATCTGGTTCTCCGTTCGCTTTCGTTATCCGCTCAGACTGGCTGCGAGAGAATGAGACAACCCGACCGTCTCTGAGCGCGCGCTCTCCTTTTTTTTACACAGTGGGTACACGAGTGCGCGCAACCAATTGTGTGTGTATTGGGCTGTTCAAATCGGGTACCAAGCATTGGCAGTAGAGGGTTAACGGTTAACCAACCTAACAATATCATGAATAGGCTAATGTCCTTTTGCTATATTAGAGCATTTTTCCTTATACTTTTTCTTTATTTGCAAAGTTCAAGAAAAGTTAACAGAAAACTCTATAATCTTCAAATCAGATGAGCTAGGGAAGATAGCATATGTGGTTTCAATACAGAATTGTTTTTCTTTCAAACTAATTCTTATGAATTGTCAATAGGCCTACAGTGCATTCGGAAAGTATTCAGACCTCTTCTCTTTTTCCACATTTTGTTACGTTACAGCCTTATTTTTAAATGGCTAAAATAAAACATTTTCCTCATCAATCTACACACAATACCCCATAATGACAAAGCGAAAACAGGTTTTTAGAAAGTTTAGCAAGTTTATTAAAAATACAAACAGAAATACCTTATTTACATAAGTATTCAGACCCTTTGCTATGAGACTCGAAATTGAGCTCAGGTGCACCCTGTTTCCATTGATCATCCTTGAGATTTTTCTACAACTTGATTGGAGTCCACCTGTGGTAAATTCAATTGATTGGACATGATTTGGAAAGGCACACACCTGTTTATATAAGGTCCCACATTTGACAGTGCATGTCAGAGCAAAAACCAAGCCATGAAGTTGAAGGAATTGTCCGTAGAGCTCAGAGACAGGATTGTGTCGAGGCACAGATCTGGGGAAGGGTACCAAAACATTTCTGCAGCATTGAAGGTTCCCAAGAACACAGTGGCCTCCATCACTCTTAAATGGAAGAAGTTTGGAACCACCAAGACTCTTCCTAGAGCTGGCCGCCCGGCCAAACTGAGCAATCGGGGGAGAAGGTCTTTGGTCAGGGAGGTGACCAAGAACCCGATGGTCACTCTGACAGAGATCCAGAGTTCATCTGTGGAGATGGGAGAACCTTCCAGAAGGACAAATATCTCTGCAGCATTCCACCAATCAGACCTTTATGGTAGAGTGGCCAGACGGAAGCCACTCCTCAGTAAAAAGCACATGACATCCCGCTTGGAGTTTGTCAAAAGGCACCTAAATAACTCTCAGACCATGAAAAACAAGATTCTCTGGTCTGATGAAACCAAGATTGAACTCTTTGGCCTGAATGCCAAGCGTCACGTCTGGAGGAAACCTGGCACCATCCCTACGGTGAAGCATGGTGGTGGCAGCATCATGCTGTGGGGATGTTTTTCAGCGGCAGGGACTGGGAGACTAGTCAGGACCGAGGGAAAAATGAACGGAGCGCTCGTCCTTGATGAAAACCTGCTCCAGAGTGCTCAGGACCTCCGACTGGCGCAAAGGTTCACCTTCCAACAGGACAGCGACCCTAAGCACACAGCCAAGACAACGCAGGAGTGGCTTCAGAACAAGTCTCTGAATGTCCTTGAGTGGCACAGCCAGAGGCCGGACTTGAACCTGATCGAACATCTCTGGAGAGACCTGAAAATAGCTGAGCAGCGATGCTCCCCATCCAACTTGACAGAGATTGAGAGGATCTGCAGAGAAGAATGGAAGAAACTCCCCAAATACAGGTGTGCCAAGCTTGTAGCGTCATACCCAAGAAGACTCGAGGCTGTAATCGCTGCCAAAGGTGCTTCAACAAAGTACTGAGTAAAGGGTCTGAATACTTATGTAAATGTGATATTCCAGTATTTTCTGTATTTTATCTTTGCAAAACTTTGTAAATACCTGTTTCTGCTTTGTCATTATGGAGTATTGTGTGTAGATTGATGAGGGGGAATTATTTAATCAATTTTAGAGTAAGGCCGTAACGTAACAAAATGTGGAAAAAGTGAAGGGGTCTGAATACTTTCTGAATGCACTGTAAGTATTCAGCCCCTTTATTTTGTTGAAGCACCTTTGGCAGAGATTACAGCCTCGAGTCTTCTTGGGTATGACGCTACAAGCTTGGCAAACCTGTATTTGGGGAGTTTCTCCCATTCTTCTCTGCAGATCCTTTCAAGCTCTGTCAGCTTGGATGGGGAGCATCGCAGCACAGCTATTTTCAAGTCTCTCCAGAGATGTTGGATCGGGTTCAAGTCCTGGCTCTGGCTGAGCCACTCAAGGACATTCAGAGACTTGTTCCGAAGCCACTCCTGCATTGTCTTGGCTGTGTGCTTAGGGTCGCTGTTCTGTTGGAAGGTGAACCTTCGCCCCAGTCTGAGGTCCTGAGCACTCTGGAGCAGGTTTTCATCAAGGATCTCTCTGTACTTTACTCCGTTCATTTTTCCCTCGATCCTGGCTAGTCTCCCAGTCCCTGCCGCTGAAAAACATCCCCATAGCATGATGCTACCACCACCATGCTTCACCGTAGGGATGGTGCCAGGTTTCCTCCAGATGTGATGCTTGGCATTCAGGCCAAAGAGTTCAATCTTGGTTTCACCTGACCAGAGAATCTTGTTTCTCATGGTCTGAGTTCTTTTGGCAAACTCCAAGCGGGCACTCATGTGCCTTTTACTGAGGAGTGGCTTTCGTCTGGCCACTCTACCATAAAGGCCTGATTGGTGGAGTGCTGCAGAGTTGGTTGTCCTTCTGGAAGGTTCTCCCATCTCCACAGAGGAACTCTGGAGCTCTGTCAGAGTGACCATCGGTTTCTTGGTCACCTCCCTGACCAAGGCCCTTCTCCCCTGATTGCTCAGTTTGGCCGGGCGGCCAGCTCTAGGAAGAGTCTTGGTGGGTCCAAACTTGGCTAGGTTACCAATGTATACTGAGCAAAAATATAAACGCAACATGTAAAGTGTTGTTCCCATGTTTCATGAGCTGAAATAAAATATCCCTGACATTTTTCATAGGCACAAAAAGCGTATTTCTCTCAAATGTTGTGCACAAATTTGTTTACATCCATGTTAGTGAGCATTTATCATTTGCCAAGATAATCCATCCACCTGACAGGTGTGGCATATCAAGAAGCTGATTAAACAGCATGATTATTACACAGGTGCATCTTGTGCTGGGGACAATAAAAGGCCACTCTAAAGTCTGCAGTTTTGTCACAACACAATGCCACAGATGTCTCAAGTTTTGAGTGAGCGT